AACAACATTTGAGGTCAAACTTTGTGCCTTAGATTTTTCTCGATAAATGATGGCACTGGTTAGAAATCGCAGTGAAATAATCATCATTTCAAAAAAATGACCTATAATCTCGAATTCTCGTGGCATTCTTCCGATTATAATATCCATTAATGAACGTAGTAAGTTTAATCGCGAAACCATTTTATCCATTACTAGAATTTTCTTGCAACTGTCCTTTTGTTGTGCTGTGCAGATATAAAGTCGGTTGCCTACCATGAACAAGAAATTACGCTTGCCACTCTGTCCTTTTAATTAGGTGAAGAAAAGTAATGTTTGTGCCAAATATCAATTACATCACTTGAACGTGCTTGCAGCACAAATGAGCAAAAAAAAGAATGCATTATGCTCATCAGATGGTGAAAAGGTGGATCAATAACAAGGAAAATAGGAAATTTTTATTTGCATATAAAAATTTTTGCCTTACTGTCAGCCTTTTTTAATCAGTTCAATAACATCTTGTGCTCGTATTTCGCTGTTATGAAACTTTAAGTTTTTCCAATGATCTGTATTTATTTGAATTCTAATAGGATCTGGAGAACTACATACAATCGATGGTGTTTCAGACGTTTTAGAGTCCATGTCGTACGTTTATTCGCACTAGTGCCCGCGCACCAATGATTTACCGACTATAGCACTTACGACTTTCGGTTCTAGCTATAAACGATTTCAGAGAGTGTTTTCTATTCAAATTCGAATTATTTATTAGAAAGAATTCAAATTACCTTAGAAGAAAACAGTTTCAGAATATATTTTACTAATAAAAAGTTTGGCAGCGATATCTTTAATAAAAATTTATTTCATAACTAGGGTCGATTTAGGTTCTTTGGTAAATATAGGAGGCTCATATGCATCAACATTAACACAGTGTGTCGAAGACGATTTAATTCTGTCGGTTTTAGCGAACTTCAAAAGCATTCATCCGCTTTGATACAATATATCATGATACAACACTTTCAAAAACGACCGATGATAAATCGCCCGTATGGTGCACATTATATCGATCCATTTAGTGGCAGTAGTTTCTCAGTAGTTATCACATGAGAGATTAGTCTACACCATAGATCGATCGAAAATCAGATTTGAACTCTAAAAACCGGATATAGACCGAACTCGCAATTCAATTCAGCATTACATTTCTCAAAGCTCCGGTCCCGATATTCTTGACAGTACGGCCAACTCAGTATTCCTAATCACATAGAACAAGTCAATTTTGAAAATTTTTTTTTCGAATTTCCGTCGAGGACTACAAGAATAAAAAAATCGGGAAGTGGTTTCCAAGAGGTGGATGGCACCAGATTTGTAGCCCATATTGATTCTGTCACCCTTATCCAATTATTTCTTTAAAATATTTTGGGCCGAAAAGTAGACTTACAGGGCCACCAGTCCTCTAACACAAATCTTACACAATGCAAATATTTGTAAATCACAATCAAATCGTTTAATATTGCTCATTAAATCAGCTCAACCTAAACCAAATAACATGTGATCATCATTAAAAGAATTATTGACAACAATGAACATTGAAGATCTCGTTACAAAAAGAAAAGTATGTGTATTCATTTAAATACGAATTATTGAATAATGAAAATATATGCAAACAACGTCAATCAACAAATCAAACAGCAATTGCTACTACATATAACATTAATCCTGCTTAAGTTTTACCAATATCATTTAGACGTTTATCAATATAGATTGAAGAATACAAACAAAATATAATAAATAATGGTGATGCTGCACATACCAATAATGTTCCATGTGATTTACTGTACAAGCAGTTAATGAATGAAAAGTCACTTATACGTATATATCAGTCTTTTTCTTCCTCTCCTTCCGCATTTCTCTTCTAGCTCTTCACATTATTTCTGAATTTCACTTAGTACTGGAGAAAATCTTATTTGTACGATATTACATTTGGATGGAATCAATTTTATAAAATCAACAGAGTTAAAATTATAGCTATTAAGCTACTCAATTGTGGAACTTCCACCAAATATTCATTATCGTCGCTATAACATGATACTTCTATCGATATAAGTTAGATATACACTGAACCTTTAGTTAACTGGCGGTTAAATAAAATCGGTCACAAGTTGAATTGTTCAAAAACACAAAGTAAGAATCATCGATAAGTAAAAACGAACTGCCCCATTCTTCATTTCTCAATTAGTTACTCCAGAATTTTTTGAAAAGTACATAATGACTAGAAAGCCTAGTACGTCTGGTTAGAGACATGAGATAACTTTACTTGTTTTTGTTTAATTCTCACTGGTTAGCATGGAATTTCTTACAATTCCACCTGCACTTAACGTATAGATATGTCATATATTTTTTTAGATATGCCAGTAAGAAGTAATTTAAATTATAAATTGAAGTTTGTCGATAAAACTGATGATTGCCCGACAACTAAACTAGTACTGAATTTTGTAGCCTATGATGGCTATTGGTGCTACTAATTGTGTTATTTACATGGTGTTTATGTTGGTGATAAATGTCAGTATCGCCGTCAATTACCAATCAAATATCATTTTTTAAAAGAAAATTTACAAACATCATATCAAACTGAAGAAGAAAATTGTGATGTTTTGGTCATTGTGGCCTAAATATTTTACATCAAATACTGGATGTACCATTCCACAAGGTCTTATCATCGATTATCTATACGCTACCCTACTAGGTCATGCAAAAAAAAACAATTATTTTGACTATTTATAATAAATTCAAATCTCTCAAACAAAAACTATAGATGTCAAGTTAGATGAACAATTCTTTCGCAATTTCTTTCATCTAAAAATGAAGGTCATTCATGATTTGGCATATGTAAAGGCACAGAAGTAAGAAACTGGCTATTTAATGGCTTTTTATCTACTTTACAAGATTGTTTACCAATTCAACAACTGTCATATTTAACATTATACTTTCGTGCAATCCGTATATTGCATTGTGAATTATTATACGGTAATGATTGATTTATATCATCTAATGAATTATTTTTGCGCTACTGCAAAGATCATAATGATTATTATGTTGGACAACAAAATTTTGTATTGCACTTACATCTACATTATTCAAGCATTTATAGAAATCATGATAGTTTATGTAATATAGATTAGTTTGGTTAAGAAAATTTAATTGTTACCATTAGTTCCTATCATAATTGTACACAATGCTAGGGAGAAATGGTATGATATTGTGACCATATTGGTTCTTTTTAAATAATAAGCACACAAAAAAATGAAAGATAAGCCTAATGATCCTGCTAATCAAGCATCAAATGTAACTGAATATGTCTATGATTGTCATGTACAATTATGTGCTTGTAGTGAAGTTTAATAAATGTGTTATTATTTACCGACGTTCTGTTGTACGTGAACAAATATATCATTTGCTGTCATACGATAAACGTCAACAATTAATAAGTTACATCGTCCAATATTTTGTTAATGATCATATAAAACGATAAAATTTTGATATCATCCAATTTTTTTAATGTTGCAAGGATAAAATACTTACCGTAATAAGATAATATTTCACTAAACAATAGAATAGTAATTATTTTACACCATCGAAATATGATAGTCTGCCGAAAAGTCTATTAGATCCTTTTTTTTGTACTACAAAATAAGCCAAACTAATTAGATCTCGTTTCTGCTGGACATATTTTGAAACACTATGTTATTTTCTATAAAATAGATTATCTAGTCGAAACAACAGTTTTTTCATATAATGAACATGATTAAACATAGTATGTACACACTTTCTTTTAATTTATTACTCGAGGTTTTTCAACTCATTCGGATATGATTTAACTTTATTGCTGATTGTTTATTTTCTTCATTATTTTTTCATCTTATTGTTCCAAAATAAAAAAGAGAAATGTAATTGTTCTGATTCTTCGAAAGATTTTTTCTTGTTTATCAGTGAATTGTGAAAAAACCTGCTTTTTTTCTAACTAGTTTTCTTTCGTTTCATGTTTATTTTAGATTAATTGAATTAGTCTATTTTTCTGGCATTTTATTTTGAATGACTTTTGATTCACGTTTCAAAAGACATATTAGAAAGAATGTGATTTATTCGCCGTTCGATCTGTTGGAACCAGATTACTACTTGGTTCACATTGAAATATTAAGTAAAGATTTTATTATCAATAGGAGGAAGAGGGAAACAATATGAAATCATAATTAGTGGTAAGTCGGTTATTTTTTTAATGGCTGCTAATGAAAATTAAGGAGCGAACAGTATAGAAATTCATCAAAAATCATCTTTAGGTACAACATCTTATTGCGCAGCTGAATTTAGTTTACGGATGATTGATGTAAACAAAAACGAGATCGATGAAGATGAAGATGTAGATTCCGATACAAGTATGAGTATTGATATTTTAGAATTACTTCTTTGGGTGTGTGGGTGTGGATGAATAGAGTAGTTATTCATACATCCATACCCACACCCACACCCAAAATTCAGTTGAATCGAAATATAAATATCATAACTATGGTCATTGCACAGAACTCCATACAAATGATATTCGAGGTATTTTGGGAAAATTTTTTTCGACTCCTGCAGTGCACCACAATGGGCAAAATGTCACTATGAAATATCAGAAAACTACGTTATACCTAAAATCTCTTCTGGTGATCTGCTGACGTCGTCTCAATAAATAGAAGTCAAATCGTGGACAAAAAATTGGTTTTATATCAGCATGCTCATTAAAAATGAAAACGATATCTATAAAGTCTCTTGCGAAAAATCTGTTGTTTTTTTAAACGAAAGAATATATGTCTAATATTATCTGTCTTATCTGTTATCAGCTGGTTGGATAACGAATAGAAAGAAAAGTAAAAAAATGAATATTTGTCTTTTTTCTCTTTTTATCAAAAATTTTTATTTATGATGCCCTCTCAGTTCTATTTAAAAATAAAACATTTTGTCATTTTCAATACTACGGAATAACGCTTATCATGTCATTTGCGTCACATAGTACAGAATCCATTCATTTGAAGGAAATTCGTACTAAGCCATTAGCCGACGGTGAAATATCTATGACGGATTTTTTAACAGATGAAGATAACAGACGAGATAGAGCAAATTCATTTATTTGTCGTAGTACATTTCGTCATGCTCCAGCAAGTCAAGAACTACAAATATTTGCACGTATTAGACCACGAGTATTTATCTATGATCAAGACACAATTGAAGAAAAATATTACAATTCCATTGACAGTATTCCAATAATAAAGGATAATGAATGTTTATGGATTGATGTCATTGGTGTAAGTTTTGATTCTTATTTTATAATGGAAATATTTGTATGTATTTATATCTAGATGCATGACACACTTTTACTATCGAGTATTAGTCGACGATTTAAGATTCATCCATTAGTCATACTCGATGTCGAAACAAATGAACAACGTACAAAATTAGATGTTTTCGAAGATGCTTTATTTCTTGTGATTAAATTAATCTATCCAGATCAGGTCACACAAAAAATACACATTGAACAAATTTGTTTTTATTTAAAAGAGAATATTCTAATAACATTTCAAGAAAAATCTAATGCTATTTTTGATCGCATCAGACGTAAGTAAAACATTCATATAGACTCTCTTATATACACTACATATATATAGATCGCATTCGTCAAAATAAAGGTCGCATTCGAAGATCGAAAATTGATTACTTATTTTATTCATTGATTGATACTATCGTTGATAAATATATGGATGTACTTAATATAGTTAATATAGAAGTCGAAGCAATTGATCATGAACTAATGAAAACTGTATCACGTGATACACTTGAAACAGTTTATGATCTTAAACGTGATATGCTTAATTATCGTCGTGTAATATCACCATTAAAAGAAATAATAAATCGACTACAAAAAGAAGAAGAAACACAAATAATACAAGAAAGTACAATTATTTATTTAAAAGATTTATTCGATCACGTTGTACAAGTCACTGATACAATTGATATATATCGTGAAATGCTTGCTTCATTTATTGATTTTTATATGATGTTAAATTCTAATGCTATGAATGAAGTTGTTAAAACATTAACTATTATTTCAACAATATTTATTCCTTTAACATTTATTGTTGGTGTATATGGTATGAATTTTCATAATATGCCTGAATTACATTGGAAATATGGATATTTTGTTGTACTTAGTGTTATGGTTTTATTAACAATTATTATGTTGGTTTGGTTTAAACGAAAAAAATGGTTTTAATTCGAGTTAGCAAACATTTATTTTATGTATAAATCATTTCGATGACTTTTCTGTATACATTTGAAAACTAAACGAACAGACAATTTTTTTTTTATTGAAATACGTTATATAACTCTAAACAAAAGTACAAAAATGATATATGAATAGAAAACTATTGATTCTTGAATATATCTTATGAAAGATTATTGATATTCTATATTTTAATAAATGACTCAGCGTGTGATGAGTGCCACATATGTATTTGACTTAAACAAAACAAAAAGACAGATTCGAATTTTTACTTAGTTTGTTGTACAGCAATTGCAATATTCACAACATTTAGATAAACAAATAGTCTGATTTATTTATGAAGATCTAGTTGAATAAAATCTACTTTAGTATGTTTTTAAAAAACCAATGAATGAAAGTTTATTTATCAATGGTTGTCTATCAGACGTCTTCAAATTTGTATTAGAATAAAGACAGAAGTACAATTGGGATCTCGTTTTTGATAAATATAACAGATAACCATCGAGAATACGAAGTACTAATTGATTTCTAACAGAAAATTGTGCGAACTTTTTTTTTTCTAAAGTTAAAATAACCCTAACTTCTTCTTGTTGTTATTTCTAAAAAACTCAATTCTAAAAAAGCCATTTCAACAATAATTAATCCGTTATTAATAACTTGCCAACGATGCTTTTCAGAATAGCACTAACAATTGTTATATTTAAATGCCGAATACATGACAACTATGAAAAATATTTTAAAAAGTTCCTTAAAAAGAATTTGGAATATTTCTTGCATTTTTAAGTTTATCTTTAAAAAAAATAAAAAAGATCAAATATTTTCTATAACATGTTTATTTGTCATCTACTGCTTTCAAATCATTAAATATATATATAGGTCTAAACACTAAATGAAAGGATACAATAAAAACACACACATAACATATTGGGATATTTATGGATAATTTCTCTGAACAACATTAAAAGTTAAATGATAATAACGTTTAAAGGAAGCATACGCAACAGTTAGATATATGATTTGGATCATCAAGTTTAATGTAATCATAGAAAAGCGTTTTAGCTTTCTTTTCGTCAAGTTTATCTCCTTGAGCAACTGTTGTAAATGTTTTATCAGCTGCATCTTTATCAACACCAAAAAATTGACATGTTTTAACCCATTCATCTCGTGCTATATGACCATCATGATTAAGATCAAGCATATTAAATGTTGTATTAATTCGTCGAGTTAATTGTTCTAATAATTCAGGATGTGTACCTGGCTTACGTAATTCGTCTGCAAGACGTCGATGAAATTGGAGCCATTCTTCTGTTAATATAAAATATGAATAATAAATGTCTTTTTTGTTTTGTTTTGTTTTCTATCCATTGATTCAAAGGAAAAATATAATTACCTAGTGTTACTTTTCCATCTTGATTTTCATCAGCTCGCATTATTTCTTGACAAAGAAGTTTTCGAGCAGTTGCATAATCTTCACGTCGTTTTGTATCGTCTTGACCAACTAGTGATGAAAGTTTATCAGCAAGAATTTCAAAATCAACTGGTGTTATTGAACCATCTCGATCAATATCTTAAATATAAGAAAAAAAAAATATTGTCGATTTCTAATTAAAATATTCAATTGATTACCGTAAAGATGGAAAAGACGTTTCATTTTGTCATTCCAAAATTCGTTTGATACAGCTGCCTAAATGAAATTAATAAAAATGTTAATCCATAGATACTGTTATTCGTCTTACCATTGTATTTTCAATAGTAGAAAAAAGAAACTAGACTAAAAGAAACTAGGCTAACAAAAACAGCTAGATGCGCTTTATTTATAGCTGGCAACCAAATGTGGAAAAATAAAGGTCCTATTGTTCTTCTCTCAGTAATTGTTGTTGTTCCATCTGTTAGAAAGATTGAAGATTTATTCATAAATGAGTTAACGGAAAAAAGAAACTTTGTATCTTTTACCGGTAATTTCTGATATACTAGATTCATTCAGTACAAATATATAGAATTGTTATATTTTAAAAAAACTAATTTAAAAGATATTTGTTTTTCTTAAATTAATTGATAAAAACTCGATTTATCATATATATTGATAATAATGAATAATTAATAAAGGAAAAAAACATTTTATTTTCTTTTTTTTCCCCATCTGTGATAATAAACATTTGCGTGCTTTGGAAGCCTAGAGATGACCTTTATGATAAGGTAATCAAAAGATAATCTTCAAAACTAATTTTCCTAAGAGGTTGGTTTTTTTCGGATCATTACACAAAAACATCTTCTTGAGATACTTATTGATATTTATCAAAAAAAGAACTCATTCTCTATTATATATCAATCATTTTTACCTGTTTTGTAACAAAGTTTTTATCGTGACGTTAGGCTAATTGAATTAAATTTTTGTTTTATAATACCATTCAATGTCATGGAATACATTAACGAATCTATTCAGGTCATTCAATTAAAGATTGAAATGTACTCTTAAGATAGTTAAGTGAGTATCAATATTTTAGAAGTTTAATACTTGTATATAAGGGTGTGTAAGTGTACCTTTTCTCTGAAACAACATCCATACCCTGCGTTAAAATAAAAAAAAACTGTCGTGTGTTGACTAGAACTATGACAATCTCAGATTAATATAAAAAATTGTCTTGTTTTGTATTGTACACATTTACATTTGCAAGATTTCATAGATATAAAATTGTTTATTCCATATTGATGTTTGAACTTTTTTAGCAATGAACTTGTCCATTTTATTGCTATCATCACGAGCAATACGAATACGGCCTTCACAAATATGTAATGTAACTGTTGGACAATCTGATAGAATGGGAAAAGGAATTTCAAGAAATAAAGCAAAATAAATTTTAAAATTTATTTATTAACAGAATCTTCTATATAAGAAATTCATTTGCAATCTGACAATATATACCGAACAACTTTGCAACTAATTTGTAGCATTGCTCCCTTTATTTATATCTTAAAAATTAAGACAAGAACTTGTTGTTCAAGTCTTTGTAACTTGTATATAATTGAAAAGTATCAGCCATATTGTCCTATCTAAATCAATGATTTTCGATAAAATCGATTAAAGAAATATTATATTTTACTTCTTATCACTACTTCCATGAAAGTTTTTCTAGAGATAAATATTCTATACATGATTAATACTGGCTTATAAAACAATCGATAGACTTATGTTTACTATTTCACAGATCTCGAATCTAATGAGCCTGAAATATCAAGAATAAAAGCGTATCCAAACAGAACTAATTGCGAGTACATTCTGTCATTGTCTCCAGATTACAGAATCAGATAACAGCTTCTTTTAATACTTATAACTCGTTGGTATAAATTAAAAAAACATGCATTCGTTAATCATATTATTATTGTTTTTTCATTAAAACCTATGATACAAACGATATTTATTAATTACAACGAAAAAGATGATTCTAGTATTTATTGTTTTTTTGTGTTGGAAATTAATGTAAGAATCAGAAGAATTGGATTATACTTAATATGCTGATGAGTTATATGTTTTGCCTATGCTAACTTACAAAAAAGAAAGATGTCGATGAAAAATAAAACCAAGTAGAAAATGGCGTTTTATTATTGCTTTAAGGTACTCAACAGTTCGTTCAAATTTTATTAATTTATTCGTTTAATATTGCTAATCAATATCAACTTGAAGGTCCTTATGTAGATCAAATAAAAAAGAGCAATAAGAAAATAAAGAGATTTATTACATACTATTAAATTGATCAAGAAAATCAACAAGATACGTAACAATTGTTATCAAAAATTGATTTTCATGACAACGCTATCAATCATCTCGAATAATTTAACAAATCTCGTTAGTATCAAAATTACAATCATTTTAATTTGGCAGCGATCGTATTTTGCCTATACTGTAGTGTGATATGTGCTATGTTCATTTTCTCTCTAATAAATCACTTAATCATATCTGATGAAAAAAAGAAATTCTAATTCTTTTATTTTATCTATTAGAGAACGTCACAGGACGGTCTTCTGTGTCCTGTTCTACATTCTTCAGAACATTATCATTTAGTCATCCTACTTTGCAGAACACATGGCAAGTCATCAAAATTTTCATTCTGACAGGACAAATCTTCCAATACAAAGAATCTCTCTACGTCCTTTCTGCAGGACGAGCTTTTCATTGTATTTTTGACAAAGACAGAAAAGTTGTCTCTATTTGAGGTACGATGTCAAATATCATAGACGTACTATTGATATAAAAATGATTTACAAAATAATCATCCTAATAAATCTTATGACATATTTCCTAGCAGAAATGACATCAACAATAAAAAAAATACTTGACATCCATATGGCGAACAAAACATCGATAAAACAAACAAAGATATAGGATTCAAAATGTAATCAATATTAACAGATAGGCAAAGAGAAGCAATAAGTTTTCTTTTTATTACTTTTACTTGGATTTCTTGTATGAACGAATAAATAGGGTATCGGTGTAGGTGTGAGTATGGGGTGTGGGTGTAGGTGTGGGTGGGAAGGGGGCGTAGGCGTGGATGTGGATGAATAGAGTAGTGACACCCACACACCCATCCATACATCCAAGCATACAGTGAGTATGTGGCTATGATTATCTTCATCAAAAGCCACTATACTTGATTCTATTCTGAATAAAATACAAATTAATTCATTATATCTCTTATTGACATAATAAAGTTTACTGGAATCCATCAAGATAATATGGATATGGAGTTGAAGTTCGACGTTCACATGCAACGAAGATTGTAAAGATTAGAAAAGTTATAATTCGTTAGAGATATGATGCTTAAGGTACGCGCTCTTGTATTGTCAATCTCTTGCTCATATAAAAGGTCTATTTTTTACAGTGTGATGCTTTCGTTCTTTTCTTGAGAGTGCAATCAGCTGTTTTAAATAATTCTATAGTAAATATTTTGGTTACAAATTTATATGTCATAACATTCATTATAGTGTGTTGTGCCTTACTAAAAGATAATAGCATCTTCTTATAATATTTTGTCGGTTTATTTCAGAAATACATTCAACTAAGAGAAATAGATGTAATGCTGAAATCTCGTAACGAATAAAAATCAGAAGGTATTGATGAAAAATTCAAGGCAACATGATTGCAATGGTTACATCTTCTCTTTTCTGCGAATAGACTCTGTCCAATATCCCCTCCCGTATTTATATTTTTTAAAGCCTTGATAGAACAAACATATTTATATACAGTAGTTGTTTTTCATTTATATAAATACATCAATCATCGGTTTTTAAATAATGAACTATTTTTATTTTATTTTTTTAAGATGCAGCGTGAAACTTTAATACTTGAAGATGAATCTGAATTCAGTGGTTTTGTATTTGGAGCGTCAACTAATGCTACCGATGAAGTCAGTAAGATTCTATCATAACTGATCTCTTCTTTTGTTATGTATTTTTATTTCTATTTAGTCTTTCAAACTGGCATGATCGGTTATATTGAATTATTGACTGACCCATCTTATTGTAGACAAATTCTAGTCCTTATTTTTCCACTTATTGGCAATTATGGTTTGTTTCTTTATATCTTAACCATTAAATATTTACTTTATATTTGAAATTCTTTAGATGTACCCGATGAAAAAGCTGTTGATGATTTTGGTATACAGCGATGGATTGAATCAAATAAAATCTATGCATCAGGATTAATTGTTAGTGGTTATACAGAACAGCATAGTCATTGGAATACTGTTCAATCTCTTTCATCATAGCTAAAAAAACATAATGTTCCTGGTCTTTATGGTTAATCATCTTTTTTTTTTTTATTGTTTATAATTACATGATAGTAATTACTTTGATTTTAGGAATTGATACACGTATGCCAACTAAAAACCTTCGTGAATATAGAACAATACTTGGAAAAGTAAAATCTTCATATTTCTTTTTGTACTTTTTTTTTACTAAATTAGTTATGAATAGATTATTATGAAAGGAACTGATCCAGCATCAATTCCATTTCAACATCTAAATATAGATAATCTTATGACACAAGTTTCTATTCAAGTAAGTAAACTTTCTTAGCTTTTTGATTCTTTCTTTATTTTTTGTTGAATTATTAGAAACCATATATAATCAATCCAACAGGAAAAATATCTATTGCTTGTATTAATTGTGGTATGAAAAATAATCAATTACTAATTTTATGTCAACTCGGTGCAAAAGTAACAATCTTTCCATGAAATTATCTTGTTAAACAAGATGATATTTTATTTGAAAAACTAAATAATAACTTTCATCTTCTTTTGACTTTCTAGAATTTGATGGTTTATTTTTGAGTAGTGATCCTGGTGATCCACAAACTCAATATCCAGAAACTATTACAATTATTGAATCGTGGATTACAAGTGAAACTATTAAACCGGTATTTGGTATTGGTCTTGAACATCAAGTAAAAATTTTAAATAAATTTGTTCTTTGGTTATATGGATTGGATTTTAGTTATAAAGGTGTTAGCTGCTGGAATGAAAATAATAAAACTTAAATATGGTAATCGAAGTTATAATCAAATATGTCTTTAATAATAGCTGTGGAATGTATAATAATATTTATTTTGATATTTTCTAGCCATGTTTATTAGAAGGAACTCAACGTTGTTTTATAACATCCCAAAATCATGGTTTTGCTGTTCAAACACCACAAGGCGTAGCTAAAGATTGAAGTATTTTATTTATAAATCAAAATGATCTATTAAATGAAGGCATTATTCATGATTCAAAACCATTTTTTAGTGTTCAATTTTACCCAGAACATTGTGCTGAACCACGTGATACAGAAAATTTATTTCAAATATTTCTTGATGTTATTCAATCATATAAATCAACTAAATCAATTAATGTTGAAACATATTTAGTTGAACAATTAACAAAACATTGTAGTACTGATAATGCACCACTACCAGCATTTTATAAACGAGTTAAAAGAGTTTTAATCTTAGAAAGTAATATTAAAACCTTCGTGAATGTACTCATCAAGAGTACTCATGCGGTACTCAGGATAGAAAATGCCGCGAGAACTCATGAGTACTCAAAAATTAGATATGATCACTGTACGTATTGACGTTGAGCTTTCAGTGCGAGCCTTGCAAAAAACAGTAAGCCATATAATGAAAATCGAGTAGCTGTATAATATATATGATTATCTGTTTTGGTATTCGATAAATATTCATACTCAGTAAATGTCCAAAGTACTCATTTGAGTAAGATGAGTACTCATGCTGGGAATTTTTTATTGTGGTGGACAGACGTTCTTTAGAATGAGATGTAATACTTTGATAAAAATATTGAGCTTATTAGAAAATTAAACTCAAACAAACCATCTGAAACCAAAATAAAAAATTCCCAGCATGAATACTCATCTTACTCAAATGAGTACTTTGGATATTTAGTGAGTATGAATATTTATTGAATACCAAAACAGATAATCATATACATCATACACCTACTCGATTTTCATTATATGGCTTATTGTTTCCTGCAAGGCTCGCACTGAAAGCTCAACGTTAATTCGTACAGTGATCATATCTAATTTTTGAGTACTCATGAGTTCTCGCACCATTTTCTATCCTGAGTACTGCATGAGTACTCTCTTGATGAGTACATTCACTAAGGAACATTTGGACAAGCAGGGAAATTTGATTATTCTAGTATAGAAATAATTTCAGTAATGACTTTTTTATTTTAATTTTATTTTAAAGACAATCAAGTAATAAAAGCAATAAATGAAGATAATGTCTACACTGTAGTACTTAATCAAAGTACTTCTATTCCTCAAACTGCAAAAGATCTTTTAAATAAAGTATATCCGTTCTCAATAATACCAAACTATGTTGAACAAATTCTTCGAATTCATCGTCCTGATGGTATTTTACTTAGTTTTGATGAAGAAACAGCATTACATTGTGGTGTTCATTTACATGAATCAGGTATTCTTCAAAAATATTCATGTAATGTATTAGAGTGAGTAAAATGTTTTCATATGTTAAATTATAGTTTTTTTTTTGTTTTCGATAATATGAATAGAACATTGATTCAATCAATTCAAATTACTACAGATCAATGTTTATTTACACAAGAAATGGCTGACATTGGAGAAAAAGTTGTATCATATGAAGTTGTTAAATCTCTTGAAGAAGTTTGATCAAAAAGATTTGAAATATGATCCCTAATGGTCTATTTTAGACGTTGATATCAGCTGAACGATTTGATCATCCAGTTCTTGTCTGGTTTGTAGATATTTTTCATATTTCTCTTGAATAGCCGTTCTATTTAGTGCTACTTTTCCTGAGGGGGATCGTATATCAGGTTATACCGATAATCGTAAAGAATTAATTTCTTTAGTTACTTCAATATTAGCTGGTTTATCACAATCATTAATTGATAAATCACAATCATCAATTGATAAATCAAAACTATTAATTGATAAATCATTTAAAGATTGGAGAAAAATTGAATATGAAGTTGTCCGAAAACAATATAATAATTGTATTGTGATATGTAATATGGAAAATATTGATCCATTATCATGTTGTACTGATCATTCAATTGTTGTTGCATCAAATCAAACATTATCAAATGATGAATATAATTTATTACGAAGTGTATCAATTAAATTTATTCATCATTTGGGTATAATTAGTACATGTAATGTATAATTTGCTTTAAATCCATTATGCATAGAATATTATTTAATTGAAGTAAATGCAGGATTATCTCGTTTATCTGCATTAGCATCAAAAACAACTGGTTATCCATTAGCATATATAACAGTTAAACTTGCATTTGGACTGAATTTAGCTGAATTAATAAATAATATTACGAATCAAACGTGTGCTTGTTTTGAACCAAGTCTTGATTATGTTGTAATTAAAATTTCAAAATGGAATTTAGATAAATATGATCAATGTTCAAACAAAACCGAAAGTAGTTCAAGTAAGTGATGATGATTATATTTATTTTACCTCTTGGATATCGCTGTCTTCAGGTTGACGACAAGCAGAACGCAAGAATTTGTTTTTCGTTCTGTCGTATCGATAAACAGGTATGAAACGAAATGTTCATTAATATGGATGTATCAATCCACATTTCATATACGATAAAATATCTATGTATGCAGCTAATTCTCGAAGATAGAACGCAAGAGAGAGTGATTTTTCGATTTTTCTATAAGATCGTAAAGAATGCAAGAATTATCAGTATCCAGGAGGTGAAATTAACCACTGCTCATGTTGAACGTATATTTAGTATAGCAACAGCTATTCGTCACCGTTATATAATCGAACATTTATATGGTTTAACAAAAATCAACCGATGGTTTTTATATAAATTTGAAACAATTCTCAAATTTATTTTTACACGTACTGATCGATTAGTTGGTGCAAGAAAATTATTTTTATTTCAAGCAAAACATTTAGGTTTTTCCAATCAACAATTAGCTAATTGTCTTGACATGTTTGAAGCTGAAGTTTCTCAAGCATGTGAACAATGTGGCATTCGACCGTTTATGAAGCAAATCGATACAGTATTTGGTGAATGACCAGCAGAAATAAATTATGTTTATCTAACTTATCATGGGTGTAGATGTGGGTGGGGTGGGGTGGATGTGGTAATGGTTGTGGTGTTAAAATGAACGACTGCAACATCAGCAACCATACCTATACCCCACACCCACACGCCCTTATTGAAATAAATAGTTCTGCAATATCATTAGAATTCTGGCAGAATTCTGATTTTATGAACTAATGTATTAGTAGTGATGTCGTAGTGTTTGTTTTTTTTTCTGAAAATTTTGTGTCGTATTAAAGTACTTTTTTCAATAAAAGCCTATAGAAATATTTCCATTATCGATTAATAAATCAAAAGTTTTCGCGAGTTACGATTGGTGGATGACATACTTTTCACCATAATGAAGTCTTATACTAAGGGTGGGCACAGTTAAAAAAAACATTGTTTTAGTAGTACATCATCATCGAAATATTTTGTATAAAAAAATTCGGAATGATTTTCATTTGCCATAATATGGGCAACGCCAGTCAGCTAACATTTTGGACAGATTTCATGTTCTCATCATCAGTAGAAAAGTATATCGATGAAACTTATAAGCATTCTGCGATTCGATTTTTTAAAAGTATTTTCATGTATTTTAATGCGAATGGCTCATTCGTGTTTTGTTGTAGATAGGCAGTTGTAAATGATCCAAATGCTTTTCTATTACTATTAATAACATTTTGTAGAATAAAATATGTCATGAATTTTTTGTTAGTGGTGATATCGTTGAATGTATGACTGTTGAAAATGAAAAATATAATCCACCATTGGATCCAATAACCGGTTTACCTGGTGATAAAGATAGTTACCACCATCATATTTTGTTTACAAACTTAAGAAAATTTTTCTTTAACTGAAATTCGTGAATTATTTATGAATTTTTTGGATAATGGCGGTTTTTCAATCGACATTCAATATTGTCGTTCAACAAAAGCTCGGTTAATTTATTTATTGAAAGAGGATCGATCTCCTTATTATATAAGGTTCGAATGCCTGAACTTACTGTATATGCTCGAGCATGGCATCATGCTCGATGAAATTATCGAATTACTACACCTATTGGTAAGACTGATTATCTCATTGTTAGTTCTGATCACAATGCTCGTTTTGTCGTTGGTAGTACAGAGTGCAAAAAAACTGACCCCAACACTTTTTATTAATATTATTACAGTTTTAAAATAGGTTAACATAATAGTGTATGTAGTATGTAGTGTAATTAATTTGCAACTTAATGCAATAAAACTAAAAAATTATTTCATTCTCTCCCAACGAAAATAAAGAAAATTTGAAATCAAGTCATTTTTTGAAAATTCATGATTTTAAAAAATTTTCAAAAAGATTGTAAACAATGACAGGATTTTTATAAATTATAATAATTCATACACAAAATAACCATTACATTACAACACGTATCTACAGTCTATGTTATCCACTCTGCTATTTTATATTACTTTCATCACGAATACTTTGACTGTTAAAATTAAATTTTCAAATATATGACAAAGACATAGGTTCATATAGATGGAAAATAACAACTATTCTTTGATTTAAATTTTAAATTGTAAGATTGTGTAAAACTATTCATGTATATATTGTACCGTATACAGGATTTACTGCCGTAGGATTTACTACCGTAAACAATCTTTATAAGGCGCGCTTTGTTTACATGCAAATTTTAAAAAGACTATAATTAAATTCGAGCTACTTCATTAAAATTATATTCATTCATCAATTTAAAAAATAATCATTCCAAATATTTATTTGTTGAACTGTTTTTCTTTTCTTTTTGTTTCCCCATCCCCTGCTCTGTTTAATTGAGTAAACTAATCACAAACCACAATTATGTGCAATACTTGTTGAATTGTTTTTCAGTTTCAATCTGGAAATTTTATAGTAAAAAACATTTGATATCATTATCTTTATACAATATTATATTCTTTTTAAACAATCGATCTTTATATTCGAGCACTGTATTATTTCTTAGCATTTACCAACCAGAAAACAAATGTAATAAATCTGGTCTTATAGTCTCATATCGACGGGTTCGTGTTTTGGTTTTGGTTGAATAAGATATAATAGTATAAGATATAAATAGAAAAAAAACTGTGATGATTTTGCTTTTTACTTTTTTTTCATCTTCAATACAGAAATTTATTAACAATGTTTCTATTAGATATACAGGTTGATTACGTTATTTTTAATAGTTTTGTATAGTTTGCTGTATTTATGTAAAACGTTGAAAGTTTCTTATTTTAATACAGTTGGATAGAGCATTGACTACTCTACCGAACCATATAGTTTACATTTAATTTCCTTTGGCTCTAGTCCAAAAAGATTGATAAATCTCAAAAGTAACAAAAAAAAATTTTTGCACTTTTCTTATTTCAGATATGCATGGAGAACAAATGGGTGCATTTTTCATTTTATTTTTGTATCATCTCATACATTTTATTAAAAAACAAAATATACCAGAAGATGCAGCATGAAAAGGTCTACAATCTACCAGATAAATCTTATTTTAATCGTACACTTTTTATTTTCAAAAACAGGAAGATTCAGTGCGACCAATTTTTGCTGTAGCAAAAAAACTTTTTTCTGCACGAATAACAGTTTCTTTTTCTAATTGCAGATTTTTATCACATAATGTCTTCGTAAAAAATATATATGCATAAAATCATGAGGCAAAATAAACAAATTTCTAATGGTAGAAATCACGTGAAATTTGTGTTCCTATGGTGTAGAGTTGAAATTCTTCTATCAATGCTTATCTATATTCTATATTAGAAAAATATTTTTATTAAAATAAATTTATTTCACAGATTATATTTTCTTACACATGATCATATTAATATCTTCGTAGATATTGTTTTCTCACAACAATATACAATATAAGATACTTCTCTCTTTTATTTGTAATATAATAAAAGATATATCAATCTATAATTGCAAAAGGAAAATAATCTTGTAAAGTTTTTGAATATTCAAATTTTCCATATATCCATAGTTGATTTATTTTGGTACAATTAATTCGTGTATCATCTCTTGTAAAATTATGTGTTACTCTTTGTAATGCTTCATATTGGACATCAAGAAGAATATTCTTTTGGAAACATGTTTTCATATTACATAGAAATTCTTCGATATAATTATCATGAGTTCGATGGTCTATTTGAAGTTCAATAAGATAATTATATTTAACAATTGATAAATTCTGATTATCATTCATTAGTTTATAAGATTGTTTATGATTTTGTGCATAACGATTATTGATAAATAATTTTTCCATAAATGGAAATGATTGAGATATTCGAATAAAAAATTCATGTTCAAAAGGATATTCATCATATAATGATACAACACGAACATATGGATATAATCCAGCTGGAAAATTATTTGTTACATTTTCGTAATGTCTCATTAAAAATGGATATGAATAAATATGACATAAACCCTCTTTATACTCTAGAAAATAATCAACACAAGATATTATTTTTGTATATGGAAAATCATTGAATGTTCGTTGAATATCTTCCTTTGATGGTAAATTCATTTCATTATTAATATATATAACCGAACGAATATCAAATGTAAATTGTTTTAATTGTGACATATGATTGAGAATATTTTTCTTTAAATTATGTCCATCAATAAATGTTTCTTCAACAGAGACTTTTAGATCCAAACCAAGTTTTTCTAAATTTGACATTCGATAAAGAAGTGGTAAAATTAATTCATTGTAAGATGATGTTTTAAACAAACAAGATAAAACAAAATATTTAAGATTTGAAATTTTTCTCTAGAGAAATAAAAGTAAAAACAAAGTCAAATTTATTTTCTTGTAAAACTAACTTGATTTTCAATTTCTTTTGATGAAGAAGAAATATTAGCCAATTCAATATGAAGTGTATGAAGTTGTTCGAAACGACCATCAAGAATATAAAGACATACATCAAAAGTTTGAACCTTGATATTTAATACCAAAAGAGATGAAGAAGAAAAATTAGGAGATGGAATTTTAAATGATAATCGAACATTATCTTTATATGATGCATCACAAAATATTAAATGAGTTAAATTGATAAATACAGTAAAAATCTGATTACATATGTTTTCCATTGTCGACCATACTTTTTTATCTGGATCAATAGCAATAGTAAGTGTTGTAATTTGATTTTTAAAAATAGAAGATATAAGTTTTTCGTCTAAATACATAGATAGTATTAAACAATTTAATCTATTTTACATATACTGATTATAATCAAGGATCAAAATTTTGACAGAAAAAGAATTTTTTTTTCAAACATTATCTTTTCTTCACCTCAATTATCTTTTTTATATATAATCTATAATAAATTTCTTAAAAATAATGAATAATTATTTTTTACTAATTAGAAAAATATTTTCTATTTTATTTTTTTTCTATATATAAATTTGTATATATGATTCTTTTTTTTTTTCTTTTACCATTCGATAGTTAAATATAAATTAGAAATGAAATTTATTTAATATATTCATCTATATTAATAATTTCAAAGTATGTATATTTTTTCTGTTTAAAATTAAAATAATTCTATTGAGATTTCCTTACCAGTAAAAATATATTTAGCTGTCTCTTCTTCGATATTATATAAACCGAGTCCATATAAATTAGGATAATCGGCAACATGTAGAATATTTTTCATAAATGATGATTCAAGATCTAGCCATTTAATTTTCATATGAATATTAGGTAAAATCTTCGAACAAAATTGATCAATTATTATATCTGAAAATTTATTGATAAATTTATTGGGTGACCATTTGAGAAAATTTAAACGACTTGTAAATATTGGATCATGTATAATTTTATTAAATCGTTCATTGATTCCTTGAAAAGAATAAAGTACCTCAAGATTGTCAAGGTTTTTTAATATAATCAAAAGAATTTCATCAGGTAAATCATTCAATTCGATACATAAATTTTTCATATTTATTTCCACTTATTTTTTTATTCAACCATAGAAAAGTCAATATATATATATATATATATGTATATCTGTCCGTTTATTCTGTTTGACTGATGTCGTCAACAATAACAATAATAATGCATTTTTCAATAGTCTAAATTGTTCATAACTTAATGAATTTATGATTAGAAGAATGTTATTGTTATTCATGTGTCTTTTTTTTAATATGACATATGAGAGAAATATGAATAGTTCTGGAGAGATATTTTGTGTACGATGATCATTTCTTCGTTTTCTTTCTGTATTCATTTGAAACATTAAAAATTTGTAATATTCAATATGGATGAAAATAAAATATATAATATTCTAGATGCTTTTTACGATAAAGATCAGTTATAATATATAAATGTTGATGTTTTTCTCATGTATCAATTATTTTAAGAATATTGTGATAAGTTGCAAATGTTTTATGAAAACAAACTTTGTTTAATTTTTCATTAAAAGTATCCAATTTAAAAAATTAATTTTTGTTTTATATTTCAAATATTCTATCGATTAGATATGTCACAAAATTTAGTTAACAAGTATTAAATTGTATATCATTGTTTATCTTCGTTATGATAAACTCTATATAAAGCTTCAAATAAAGATTTTACTAGAAAATTCATATACCATTTTCTTATTTCAATAAATGAGCTATAAACGATATTTTCGATAAATTTAAAAGATTAAGTCTAATCAGTGGATGCATCTGAGTTGATATCAGATAAACTTTTCAAAGGTAAAATCAATCGTGATATAGAACAAAATGATAGAAAATAAAGAGAACCATAGAGAGGATGCATCATGTCCAATGGACATGACAGTACGTATGAACCAACAAAAAAAACAGAAAGAACATCAGTACAATAGAAGAAAAAAAAAATAGCAGTTTTTTTAACTTGAAAAAAAAAAGAAAAAATGATGATTGTTCATTATCAATTGTTGATCATAAAGAATCAAAAAATGTCTTCATCATCACGTCCAACACGTGTAAATTTTGATATCTAGAAAAGACAAATACTCATTTAATATCGGTGTATTAAAAATGCGAATGCGTATTTTAGAATAATATCTTACTGACAATGTTTAACTTTCCTTTTTACAAAATCATTTAATTGAATCAGTTCTGATACAATCTGCAATTCATAAAAAAAAAAGATTTTTTAAATTCATTTCACTATATCCTACTTGTAATGCATGAAGAGTAATTATTTCTTCTTTTTCTACCAGATTATTTGTAATATGAATAGTAGTATCTTTTCCATTAATATTACATTCGAGTCTGTAGTAATCGTCATCTTTTTTACTGCACTCGATTATATTGTAGATTGTCTTTAGAAAAAATAAAAAATATATTTTTAAGAAAAGTATTTTTCTTATTTCATTTGATGAAAAACGATCGACAACATAACCGTAAATAAATAGGAACAGATAATCAAATTCTGTTTCGAGTACTTTACTGTTTCGTCTTCTTAAAATTTTTAATAAATGTTCCATATTTATTTATCTAGAAAAAAAAATTGCTTAATCTTAATATAACCTAGGGATATTCATTTACATTTAATTTATTATGTATATAAATTTCAGAAAATTTATATTTATAAAACATTATACTTAGGTCAGACCAAAAGTTCTAAGAACATTAAATAGTAATATAAAGATGCAGAGATATTTTCAATTTTATTTTATCAAACGTTGAGGATAGTTGCTATGATTATTTATATCAAGGTCAATCCTTTCTAACAATTTATTAAAAGTTTTTTTTTGACCTCTTTTTCTAAAAAAATTTTAGCTACCTTGGATACCACATGACCTAATTATATTTCATTTGTTTTAAAAATTTAATGAAATTTTGTTCGATCATATCAGTTGTATTCTAGCATTACTAGTGATGTGATATCGATTTATTTTAGATAGTTTAGTCATAAGTCATCTAGTACTAATTGGCTTATTGAAGGTGAATTGTCAAAGACTGTTGTTCATGGAGACAGATTTTAACCAAAACATTGTTTAGTATATTCTTTAAATCAAATGATTCTGCGTATAGATAAAGGCAAGACTATAGATCACAAGTATTATATTGAAAATTATCCAAAGCCTTTTGTTAATGGAATATGAAAATAAACATGGACATTAGATTCAAAATGCACAAAATTGCTTCATAATTGTGGTTTGTGATTAGTTTACTCAATTAAACAGAGCAGGGGATGGGGGAACAAAAAGAAAAGAAAAACAGTTCAACAAATAAATATTTGAGATGATTATTTTTTAAATTGATGAATGAATATAATTTTAATGAAGTAGCTCGAATTTAATTATAGTCTTTTTAAAATTTGCATGTAAACAAAGCGTGCCTTATAAAGATTGTTTACGGTAGTAAATCCTACGGCAGTAAATCATGTATACGATATTGTACATTCACTATTATTACTGTTATTGTAGAATCCAGTTCTTTTGTAATTATTAATTAATATTTAATTACATTACAATCTCGAGGGGTCAGTTTTCTTTGCACTCCGTACTATTATTGAAAACCATTTGACTGATTTACATCGATAAGAAAAAAACAACTGTGGAGTATTAGAACCCAATAGAATATGTTCAGTAACTAATGAAATTATGCAATTAATTAATGGCGTTAGACACCTTTATGTGGAGAGATCTTCAGGATTAGATAAGACAGAGCTGATAGGTTTTTTGCTTGAAAGGTCATAAAGTTTGAAAAATTGGTGATCCATCACCATTTTTGGTCGGTACAATCTCTAATGATATCGAATGGATATAATTTGAGGATTTCGAGTTGTCTAGATACTTGTGTTATTTAAGCACTATCTTATCACTTATGGATTATAAACCTGTAGTATTATCTAGAAAAGGTGTTGATGATCGCACTGTTACTCTAAAAGCAAGGTTTGTCTTTACTACCAATTATCCTATACCTAGTAGTTATGATATGCTAAAGAGAAGACTACAAAAGATATATATCTCTCATTCGATGCTTATTTGTAATGGATGTATTTCAGATTTTGTTCCTGCTGCTATTCCAAGAACATCAAATTTTGATATTATGGTTGAACCAATTCATGAAGACCCTGAACGTTATGCAGTGAATTTTATAGTTGATTCAACTCCACAACAACCAAGACCTTGTAGATCCTGAATGATCAATTACATTGATTCTGTTTTCTCCTTAGGTTTTTTAATTTTATTGGCGTTCACCTGTGTCTATGATGCCGGGTATCATCTTGTCAATTATATAAAAAATCATAGTGACACCGAACTCGTACAAACGATTGAAATGGTACTATTTCATTCAAGATTCACTAGTGTTGACAGAAGCCATTTTCGTAATCATATTGGAGTGCTCTGTCGAAAAACAATGAACCCAGATAAAGATTCACATTTGTATTGTAGTTATTTTCCTATTATCAACTCATTTTAATTTTTAGTGCTAAAAGATGTCAATACGCAGGCTGCAGAACAGACGTTTTCGTGGCGAAAACAATATGCTTAAATTATCAATAATTTGAATTACCTATGTGTTCCACTATCCATGCTGATCTTGTTCCCTTTGAAAAACCTATCGATGGTTAGAAGATCATCATCATTCGTCTATGATGTTGCCAGTTGTTATTGTATTAGAAATCGCGTAATACACAGTTTTTTTTTCACAGGCTGCTACAATTCCTGCAGTTCATGGTGTCTCTCTTTGTTACTTGGCTGATAATACATTTCAATATTTATCAACTTGTCAAAAAAAACATTCCGATTTCTATCGATGAAAATTCAACTCATACATTAAATTTTAATCAATTGAACTTACCTAAAGGGACTACTGATTGGGATGCTAAATTGCGCGATATTATGTCTAAAAAACAATTAAATTAGTTTCATATACTCTTCGTTCGATTTGTAACTTTTTATTTATTGACATACGAGCGGTCTTAATGAGGAAATTTTTATTCGAAAAAAATACTGAAGAAAAAAACAACAACATTCATATTATGTGATGAAACACAATTCTGCTAGAAAATCAAAATTCTAACACAACTCTGCTAAAAAGTTAGAATTAAGTATATGCAACGGATGATAATTCTGCTACGAAATCAGAATTCTGACAGATTTTTCATGTAATGAATAGAATTCATAATATAATTATTATTGTTTTATTAGATTATTATAAGAATTTTATTTATATAAAGAGATTGTGAATGTAAATAATGATAAGTGTATGCATAATACAGAAGTCTTAAATTCTGTTTGTGAGAATTCTGCTACTCCTCATGTTGAGATCATCAAAATTGATTTAAAGAATGTATTATAAGTAAATGGATTCCCGAAACAAAAACTATTGATAATTTACTATTGAATATATTTATACTTTAATCATTCAAATCACAAGTATTTCACAATGTCACACATGATTTCTTATCATTCATTGTTGGTTAATGAGAATTGTAAATAGATCATTCTTGAGTATAACCACCTTTTTTTTCTAATCAAATATGGGTATAATCAATTGATAATGCTGATATAAATGTTCATGATATATTTTAATAGATATTACTCTTAAATGATAATTTTTTATCTAGACAACAAAAAATAAGCATGTGTTTGTAATAGTGATATTTACACAAAGATACAACAAATGAAAGAAAAATCTTTGCTATATAATTAATCAGAATCGTCTTCAACTTTTTCTTTGCTTTTTGGTGGTTTTTTGGTTGGTGATTCTTTTTGTTTAGTTTTCTTCTTGGGATCATCCGATTTTTTCTTTGACGAAGTAGATGATGATTCAGGTTTTTTACGTTTTTTCGATGCTGATGGACTTTTACCTCCATCTTCATCTTCATCTTCAGTTGAATGTATTGATGCATTACTATCATATTCAAGTGCATCATCTTCTTCTTCATCACCTGAAATATATCAAAACAGATGTTTTTTTTTTGTTTTCGAAAAAATATAATAAAAAAAAAGTCTTTTATTTTTTTACCTTGAAAGTCTTCATCTTCTTCTTCATCATCGCTTTCATCCTATAAATCAAACATATATCAATTCCTCTTTTTTGCCTTAAATAAAAACAACTTACATCATCATCTTCTCGTTCTTGACCTTCATTTTGTACATGTTCTAAGTAAATATCACGATCTTTATCTACTGTATAATTAATCTTTTTATCCTAAAAAAAGAATAATCGTTCTGTTTTTTTTCTTAAATGAGTATTATTTTCAATTACCCAATTACTAGCAGCATGAATACGAAGATCCTTTGAACTAAGAAAATCCGACATGGGTTTAGCTTCTTCTCTAAAAAAATAAAATATGAATTTCATTTTCGTATTTTTACATACAAAACTATTTCATGTTACTTTTCAATATTACTAAATACATGTGATCCACCACTTTTTAATTGAATTTCAAAATCACATGTACGACCAGTAGCTGTATTCGAACGATTAAAACCACATGAAGCAACATCATCATGATGAATATATATTGGTGGCTTGGTTATATAAATAAAACCACGTTCAAGTGGATAAAGTAAACCAGCTGATGCTTTGTATGCACAACTAACACATTTAGCACCGCTTTTACTATTCAAAAAAAAAAAGACAGAAATAATCAATTATTTTTTGTTTAAACAGCAAGATTTTCTTTACCTAGTAAATGAGCCAGGTACAGTTATACGTTGTTCAGTAATAGCACGAAATAAACGTGATACAATATCATGATAAGGACCTTGCATTTCTTTATGAAGATTATTACCGTATTTTTCTTGAATAACTTCACTGAAAGAAAGATAAATAAAAATTTTTCAATCGAAAAACAATCTAATATAGATTAACATACGGTGATAGTGAAATTTCAACTGTTGTTTCTTCTTCTTTTTTAAAACCAAATATAATATATTGATAACGTGTTTGACCATGTTTTACTGGTGGATCCAAACTAAGCTAAAAAGAAATATTGGCATTTATGCATATAAAAAACACTTATGATTTGTTTTTTTAAACTAAACGCTATAGTCCTCCTTCAATCACCAAAAAAATTGACTATTCAGTTCAAACTTTGCATAACCAAAGTTCTCCATAGAATTAGTTCACTCAGTGCTTTATCCAGCTTAAGGATCGAGTGGACGGTGTCACTTCAAAAATCGGGTTGGCTCTCCTGGATCTTGTGATTTTTTTTAACATGTACTATGTTTCTATGCTCCCAAAAATAGATATTCGCCCCCTGAAAGAGATAATCTACATAAGACACTGAGTTCACTGTGACAGTATTAGATTTTCTAATATCTCCTATAAATATAACAGCGAAGTTAGCTTGTTTTTGCATAACAGGATTTTCAGCCTTAGTATCTGAGAATAGACGATATTATGAAATGTCATATTTTCTTAATGAATTAGTCCCATTGAGAATTTTATCTGTCGAAGATTTGAACTCAAAAGTCAATTTTGAAAGTGATGAGCATTTTATTTAAGAAACAAACTAAATTATTCATAACTCAAGAAAAAAGACCCATGGTCATAAATTCTTTTCAACTTTCTCTATAAAAACTCATTTCAAAAGCAATTTAACACTACGACATTCTCTCTTTAGTATTCTCCTAATAGGCTTGATTAATATTAATTTACCACAAAATACATCTGTCGATTATCTTTATGTGGAAGAAGAAAACCACGTGTAATTTGATTATATGGAATTTTATAATCATATGATTTTCCATGTAAATCAAAAAAGCCTGGATAGAATCGTAATTCATGTCGACCACTAAAATAAAAAATTTTGTATAATTTTTTTTTCTTGTTCTAAAAGTTTTCTTTTTCTTTTTTTATACCGTGGTACAAGACAATTGATATCTGATAAACTACAAATAGCATCACCAGCTTTAGCTGTTAATACAGCAGCACCTTTCATTACATTTTGATGGAAATCCTAAACGTATATAAACTAGACTAAACAAAAATAATTTTCTGATTTAATAATTACTTCAACTGCATCACCATCAACATCTCCTGGTGGAACATAAAAACGAATTTCCATTAATGATACTTTAGCATCATCAGCCTGATGAAATTGAAGTGTTATTTCATTTTTTCCTTTATTTGAATTTGAAACATTTTTTAATGGAACTTCAAATGCTTGTTTATGATCAACTTCAAATGAAAGATTGCCAGCTAAATAAATAAAAACAAAACAAACGATTATTTTGAAATAATGTATTTATTTATTTTTTTTCTACTTCCAAATGATACTTTTCCCCAATTCCAACCATTAACTGCCATTTTTTGTGTTTCAATATTTTTACCAAAATTAATTGTCATAAATTCTTTTAAACGATCAATATCCTATTTAAAAGAAAATACATAGTGTCTTGTTTGTTTTTCGATTATTAGAAAAATACGAACTGTATCTTTAAAACCATCATAACGTAAAGATGTATCATTTTTTGTAATAAATTTTAAGCCATAACCACGTGAACGTCTCATCCATTTAATATTCTCAACTTCATCTTTAGTTATTGTTTCAACTTTACCAGTTCGTAAATTTTTAAAAACAACTGAATTTGATGTCAATTTTAAACGACCCGGATTCTATAGACAAAAAACAATAATATAAAGAATCCAATAATTTAATACACAAAAAAAAGACAAACACTTACAAGAACACCACGAATTTCTTCATAAACATCATCAAACTCCATTGCAGCCATTTTTATCGAAGAAAATGTGTGTGTATATATATACCTAAAAATACAAGGTTGTTTTATATCGAGTGACTGACTATCAGAAAGCTATGAACTGAAATGATTCTAATCGAAGAGAATCTTTCTTTCTTTCTTTTTTGTAATTCTATGATGTAAACAGAACATTTTCATTGGATCGAAATTGTACTCAGATTTTAATACTACAAAGCTACGAAAAAGAGGGCGCTCAATACCAATATATCGCCAAAATTATTCTTTTCCACTATATAAATTTTCTTAACACAATTAAAATGATTCTATCTTACGATGGAATGTTTTCAACTGATCAATTGCTTTTGAATTCGAACTCACTGCATAAAGTAGAGTTCAGTGAGATATGAAAAACTTCAAAAGGATAAATTCCCTTAGGTCTTCTGTCCAAAGTTATAGACACTCTACTAGAATTTTAGCCCGTGTCATGGTAAATACCAACAAATCGAATGACGGCATTTCGATCTGAGACTTTGCTTACAGACAGATCTATTTGTCAGTAGAATACACTGACAATTTCAATTCAAAAGAACATCTCCTTTTCGAGATATTACAATCCCAGAAAAACAGAAAATTCTAGCATCTTTCATGGAATACAACTGATTCTTGGTATTTTCATTTCTGGAGAAGGAAATATTCAGGGCATTTCGTTGACAAATAGGTCTGTCAGTAAGTAAGATCTAAGGTCGATATGTCGTCATTTGATTTGTTAGTATTCATCATGCCAAAGACTAAAACTCTACTTTATGCATTGAGTTCGAATTCAAAATCGATTGATCGGCTGAAAGCGTTTCCTCGTTAGATAAACTTTCGAAAATACTTTTCTTTTTGAAAATTCTAGATTTACTTCGGGATTAAAATGAAACCTCTATAGTTAGTCCAAACATAATGTGATATTATTTGATTTATATTAATAATCATAAGTTTGTAAAAGTAACATAAAAATGTGCATATTAATATATGAAATGTCCTATTTCAAGATCAATATAGTATCAACACAAAATTATTCAACAAAGTTTATTTTCAGTTTTTTTTTCCACTGTCTTAAACACTAAAAAAAATACAAATAGTAATTCGAGTAGACAAAAAATTTATACAAAAAGAAATATAAGAAAATGAAAATAATTATCAGATTTCAATGACGGGAGATTTTCAGAAAACCGAAATCCCAATTTTTCAGCATCTAGAATGTGCAATTATAATTTTGTTCAATAGAGCAAACAATCCTCTAAAATAAAAAGAAATGTCCTCGATTTGTTTACAATTCTTGTTGACTGAGATGAAGTCATCTATGTATCATTATCTATTAAACATTCAATTTGGTACCTTGAATCAAAGTGCTTTATCTCAGCGAAAAAAATTCTATCGGACTTGCAGATGTCTCATTGTGTAGAGAATTATTTTCTCTATCGTTTCGTGTAGTCTTGAAACTCAAGATTTGGTTTTTTAAGAATTTAATCTATGAGAATCTCGTTAATATTTTTATTACTTTTTAATATTCTTCTTGTATATATTTTTCTTTACTCAAATAATTATTTTAATTCTTTTAATGCTTGAAACAGCGGAAAAAAATTGAATATAAATTACGTTGAATAATTTTGGTAGGCACTATATGTTTTGATGCACATAATAGAATACTCGTTTTAGAGTAATCATTATCAAAGAAGTTTAACATTTACTGACAAAAATAGAATCGCTATTCATTTTCATTGTTTTAAATATATATTCACACTTGATTAAGACTAAAGAGATTAGTATTTGATTGTAACTCAATCGTATTACGCATAAATTCCTATTCTCCTTATTTTTTTTATCTAATCTAGAGAAAATGATCAAGTTTGCTGCCTCGATGAAACGACGCCATTCTCTATTAAGATATTTAATTCTAAGAAAAACATTTATTTTAAATATGAATTACTTTTTGAGCTGATTTGGGATTTATTCATCAAATATTTTCATTCAAATTCTTGTAAAATATAAAGAACATCATTAATAAGTAGGTTACCAGTTTATGCGTAATGTCTACAGTTGATTTCATCATTACACTTAATTTTGATTATTTCTTTTCATACAAGAATATTCTTTCATATTCTTTTTTTTCTTTTTGCCTGTCTGAATAAATTATTTTTTTTTATCAAATCTATGACATGGTGTTAAATCAATAAAATATCTTTTACCAATAACTGTCAAATATAATTAATTGTTATAATCATCCTTAAATAAATAAATAAACAGAAATATTTTCATTCTATCTCATATCGATATTTTAAAAGTATTCATTGGAATCTTTTTCATAATAATTATTGTTTAAAACAACGTTCCTTTATAGATTAGATATATTAGCATATTCTTTTTTATCATTTTAAATTTCTTATCATCATATTGCTGACGTCTATCTCAAATGCAGTATCATTTACGTCATCAAAAAACAAAATGAAAAAGTATCTTATTTAATATCAGTTAAAATTACGCAGATAAGTTTCGAAAGACAAATATTCTTTTATTTTGTTTCTTTTTATTTAACTAATAGCATACATAGACACGCACATAAGGAATTTGTGCATGCAACATAAAATAAATAAAAAAAATAATCATTTCATATATTTTTTTTTTTCTTAATGCTTGTCAGTCATGGCTTTTCTCTTCTTTAACGCGAGTGATAGCAAAATCATTGTATTTGTAACCCGCTGACATAGAAAGGTAGGTCAAGAAAAAAGTGAAGAAAAAACCCCAAAAGCATTGAATAGTGCAAAGACTACTTTTGATGACGTATCATCTATAAACATACCTTTCCTTTCTTTGGGCAAATAATTGATGATATTTTAGACATACTTATATAAACAGGTATCTTATAACACAAATTCAGTTTTAGTAAGCAAACCAACTGTGTTATTATCAGGTAAATGAATAAGAAAGCAGAAAAAATTGGAGAATAATGAATAACATTTGTTTTTTTTTTCAATTTAGAGAATCAACAATGTCTGAACAATCAATTAGTATCACACAACTACTTCATACATTTCAATTATTTGATAAAAATAAAGATGGTAACATTAGTTCAAGTGAAGTATGTAAATTTTCAATCTATTGTATGAATTAATATTTTTCTTTTTAAATTTGTTTTTAGCTTCGATCAGTATGTGAAAAATTGCATGTACCAATTAATGAACCAAAAATGAAAGAATTATTTGAAAATCGTCATAATATATCATTTGATGAATTTTGTCGTATAATGCAAGATTATGGTCAATATGCACATGATGCTTATTTTCAAGAAACATTTCGTGCATTTGACAGAAATTCTGATGGATATATAACAGCTAAAGAAATTAAAAAAACCATGAAGGAGCTTGGTGAAACATTAACTGATAAGCAAGCTAAAGATATGATTAAAACAGCTGATGTAAATGGTGATGGTAAATTATCTCAAGAAGAATTTCGTATTCTATTTCATCATATAACACAACAAACTACAACTCCACCATTAACACCAAATTATGAAAAAAAAAGAACATTCGAAAGTCCATTTAAAACACAAACTGAATAATTGTTAAATTAAAAAATTTTTTTTTTTTTTAAATAATATATGTGTAGTCTACCCAGGTTATGATTTATTTAGTTGTGTGTAATTTTTTTGTTGTTAAGCATACATATGTGTAGAATATGAGTAAAATATAACTCAATATATATATATATATGTATGATGACGACCATAGAAAGACACTTTTAAAAAGCACAGTCAATTATTTAAGACATTGAAGAAAAAAAAACAAACAAATACTAGTTTAAAAAAAAAGGAACATTTTCAATGCAAAATCAAAATGAAATTAGCTGAGCAAAACCAAACAATAGCACTGAGAGACAATCTAATGCTAAAGTAGTAAAATACACACACACACACAAACAAACAGAAAAAAAGAACCAAATTAATAAAAAAAAAAAGAAAGAGGAGAGCAAGAAAGAGAAAGAGAAAGAGGAGACAGCTCTATTGCACAAATGAACAACGCGACACAGATGAGGATTAACAGAGATCTTTATAACAGAAAGTAATAACAAATACATTTGCGTGCATAGCATATAAAATGGAAAAAAACCACTTCTACTTTCTATTTTGATATAAATAAGATGAAAAAAAATGAAAAGAAAAAAGAAAACTCGACAATAACAAAACAACAATAACTAAACTTTTCTATAAACTAAATTCAATAAAAGAAAAAGTAGAAGCATTGTCCGTATTACGGCATTAATAGCTTCTTCAATATGCATAGCACCCATATATTCGTATTGTTTCGTTTATATATTTCATTGACAAGAAATAGTAGTAATTATTATTTTTAACAATAAAAAAGAAAACGTGTGCTAACCATCATCACCTATTGAATAATAAATTGATAAAACCAATGTTTTAAAGTTAAACGAAAAAATATATATATATATATATTTACCTATGATTGTAGAACAAAATCTGACTTGGAAGACGATGAAGAAAGCACACACACGACAACAATGTTTAGAAAATAGATCTGGATTTTACGAGAATAATTAGTAAAGACAAAATTGATACGAATTCGAATAAAAACAAAAATAAGCAAAGATGAAAGAAAGATCTATTCAATAGATAATTTTATATTGAATAAATAATTTAAACATGATAACATACATATTGTCATTCAGACCGATTGATCCAGAATGTTTTTTGTTTTATTTTGTTTTAAATAATCATCGAAAATCTATTAAATATTTTTAATACAAAAAAATTTAAAAAATATATATTTTTCTTTTTACCTGTACAAAATGTGGACAAGAATGATTGTGAGCAAAAATAATAATGGACAAGAATTTTTTGATGATATACTGTTTAGCAAAGCCTGAATAAAATAAAATCAACAAAAATTATCAATTAAATAAAATAATATTTAAATAGCAGAAAAAAATATTATCAAAGCAAATTAAGTAGCACTATTAGTTCAAACGAAAAAAAAAAAAGTAATCTAAATTTCTATGATAATCAAATATAAATACGAAACAGACACACACACAACACGTTCTTGTGTATATAAAATAGTTTTCATGAATATATTATATATACATATATATATTATAGTGGGTAAAGGGAATTTTTGAAATATTTAATCATTATAATTATATAGTGTACCATACAACATAGAAATACAATAATGATATATTTTAACTACGTTGTATGTACGTTAAATATAGCAAGAAAAGAAGAAATAATTCATAAATAATTAGATTAAATATTACCTCTTTGTACTTTGACTATATTCAAATACTAAATATATAAATAATAATTAAATATAAAGAAATGTTTTTCAAATAACTTACAGAATCCATAACAATCAATACGTGTAACGGGCTTATGTGGAATACAAAAACGATCATTAACCGGTACAGATGTTCGTTTATTTTTACAATAAACACGACGTTTTTGTTCACCTCGATTACAATCCGATGAACACTATAATAATTCAATAAATATATTAATATAATAATATAAATCAAAAATTAATTTACTTTTGACCATGGTTCCACATGCCATAAATATGGACTTTCACAATCACCCATATTACATGATATTCGAGTAGTTGGTGCTCGATATGGATCACATTTATTTGATTCTTTATTTTTCATCAAATATCCATTATTATTTACTTCATGACATGATGTACTTCGATATTCAAGACCCAAACCACAAATCGATGAACACTAAAAAAGTAAAATTATTCAATCATAGATTTTCTTGTTTTTATTTATCAATATACCGATGACCAAGCACTTGTTGCCCACATAGGTTGACATGCAACTTGAAAACATTGTTGTATACGATTAGGTTCAGGCATATGTCGACAAAAACGATTATTTAGTATTCGATTATTGGTTTTACGTACACATCGAACTTTGCGATACTGTTCACCGACACCACATGATACATCACACTAAACAAAAAAATATACACAAAAAGAAATATTATTCAACAAATGGAAATCTTTCCACAATATTTACCGATGACCATGAACCAACATCCCATCGACGACCATGACCGCGACCACGGCGTCTTTTTGTATTATATGGTTTCGATAAACAAGGGTCTGTATTACATGAACGATGTATTTGTGGTCGAATGACATTATTACACAATTGATCATTAACTATTTGTTGAGTACCATTTACAATTGCAACACATTGAGGAATGTTTTCTTCGTAACCACCATTACATACAGCCGAACACTATTATAATAATAATAAATTAATATTTTTTTCATTTTATTTTTCTCTTTTTCTTAATAAAAGAAGACCAAGGAGGAAAAAGCGAGACTTCGTACTTCACCGTGCTTCACTGTACTTCACTCGTACTTCACTGTACTTCACTTGTACTTCACCTGTACTTCACTCGTACTTCATTTGTACTTCACTTGTACTTCACTTGTACTTCACTCGTACTTCACTCGTACTTCACTTGTACTTCAGAAGTACGAAGTCTCGCTTTTTTCCCCTTGAAGAAGACATACATGAGTCCATTGTTCTGTTCGAATCCATTCATAACAAGGACCATTTGTACACATTTCTTCTGATATTGGTCTTGGTAAATTTCGTCGTTTATGCATACAAAATCGATTAGGTATTATTTTTCCATTTAATTTTCGATGACATGTTACTTGTCGAGTTCTTTTGCCTGCACCACATTTGGTGTTGCACTGTTAGATATATATATACAAAACCACATAGGAATGGTGGAAAAAGAAAATAGAAACTATTGTTGTGTATATATAAAACAAAATTTTCTTTTGAATATTGTGACAATCGTATATATATTTATATGCGTGTTATATATATATTGAAAATATACAGATTACGATGAAAAGCACATTCATAATTAGTATTCTTCTCGTCGAAATCTGCTTAAGACGGTAGTGATATATAGGAACAAAAAAAAAGAACATCAAATCCAAGTAAATGATTGAGAAACATTTATATATATATATATATATATATATATTTATATGTATATGTATATATATTGAATTATATTGAACGTGTGTCTTTGTGTGTCTGTATTCGTGCACATGCACGCACATTAAAATGAGAAGAAAAACCAACAAAATTCATTCTCGACCTATGATTCATGCATATACACTACCACCCAAGCTTTTATTTTATCTATATGATATTATTTTAATAAAAAAGCCCCAAAAATGAAAGCACATGCTATTTATTCTAAGCACCCAATCGTCTTGCAAATTTTAACTATTTAGTTTTTTTTTACTAGGAACTTACCTCCGACCAGCTACTTGTTCGCCATTCTATACAACGTCGACGGCATACTCGTCTTGCGATAGGTTTAGGTAAATGAGGTTCAGCTAATTCACATTCACTTGTGTTTAATTTACGTATAGGCATCTGACGAGTATAGCAATCAAGACCAAAACCAAGTTCAATACCACGACCACATTTAACCGAACACTAAAAGAATTTTAAAAAAAATAAAAATTTTCATATTGTAAATTGTCATTTAATATTATAAAATAAATATCCTACGCCATCCCAATGAGCTACACGCCATTCTACACAAGCTGATATTGGACATATTCGATTTAATAATGGTTGAGGTTGATTTTGTATACATTCCCACATTGATAAAAGTTGACCATTCATTGAATCAATACATCGAGTAGTTCGTGTTTGTGTACAAGTATTAAGATCACACTTGAATAGAAACAAAAAAAAAATCTTATTTAAAGAAATTGTTTTGTTTTTGAGGGGTCAAATAGCACACCTGTGTCCATTCACTTGTTATCCATACTGCTGATGATTGTGAAAAATCATTATTTTTACTAATACTTAATGAACAAGGTATCATATGACATTGCATAGTTTTTGCTGGCCTATTGAGACCGTTACATTTTTCTGGTGAAACCGTTTCTTCTCGATTTTTACACGTAACTAAACGATGTTGAGTACCCGAACCACATGTTACCGAACACTAAAGAATAATTTCAAAAGATTTTAGAAAAACAACAACAACAACAATAAAAAAGAATTTTACCGATGACCATGATTGTGGAACCCATCTAGGACATGAACCTAAATTACACGTTTCATATTCAATTGGTTTTCTTGGTAAATGTGAACAATATTGATCATCGTAAGACATTTTTGTTAAAGCATTAATACAATGAACTTGTCGTAAACGACGACCTACACCACATGTTACGCTACACTAAAAAAAAAACAACAAAGAAAATTTTTAGATTAGAAAAAAATTAATTTTATTAAAGAATTCATTTATTTACTTCTCCAAATTGTTTAACATCCCATATAAATGATGATGTACTTTCTATAGGTGATAATGGTCGTATATTTGAACAAATTGTATTATTCCATACATGACATGCTTGTATCTCAAATGGTCTTCTTGTTTCATCACAATATGTATTTGATAATGTTTCATGTCCATGTCGACAAATAACTTGTCGATATTGCATACCGGATGAACACATTGGACCCGAACACTAAATATAACAAAAATAATATAAAATGATTTTCTATAATCATAAATCTAAGCTTACTTCTGACCACATTCCAATAGCCCAATCAGGACAATGAATATCTTCAGTACATATTTCAGTTGTTGATGGTTTTTCATCTTCAATTTGTAAACAATAATTATCATCAAGTTCACGTCCATTATGTGAACACCATATACGTCGATGACGTTCAGTTGAACCACATTTTCCTGAACATTTACTCCATGGACTCGTTTGCCATTGAGGACAATCCGTAATAGAGCAATTTTGTTGATTATTTGGTTTTGCATTATCACCTAATATTGTTAAACATTCACTATCGAGTACACGAACCCAAGGACGTGATGGATCATCACAATAAACACTACGGTGTTGAATACCTATACCACATGTTGCTGAACACTAATTAAATAAACAAAAAAAAAAAAGAAAAAGAGTTTTGTGTTTTTTTAATTAAATAAAGGAGGAATGGAAATTTATTTACATCAGACCATGGTCCTGTTGACCATCGTATTGTTGAACAAAGAGTACTACTTAATGAAGTACATGTTTGTTGTTCAATTGGCATTGGTTGTGAACACTTTGATTTATCCATTGGTCGACCATCTTGATTACAACGTACTATACGTCGTTGAATACCTGTTCCACATGTAACTGAACACTAAAAAAACAAAAAGAATAAAACAAATCGAATATTTAAAAATTTAAATTCTATTTCAAAATCCATACTGATGACCATTCATTAATAGACCATGTTGTACAACTAACATTTGTTGTACACCATTCTTGTTCGATTGGTTTTAATCGTCGATCACAATAATCATTGGGTACAATTGAACCATGATGAGAACAAACAACACGACGACGACGAATACCTTTATGTAATGAACATGTTGCCGTACACTAATATAAATTTTTAAAAAAATCATTTAAATAATATATTTTTAAATATTTACTGGTTCCCATAAATGTGTTTCCCAATGTGGTACAAGACATTCATCATAACATGATATTGTTTCTTCTGGTTTTGGTTCATGTAAACAATCTCGATCATTAACTTGTTGACCAAGACGTATACATGTTACATTTCGTCGACGTTGTTTTAAATTACAATCACACTAAATGAAAAAAAGGAATCTGTTTAAAAAATTATTCAATAAAATTATAAATTCATACATTAGACCATGAAGTAAAATTCCATCGTGATTGTTCACAAGATGATTCAACACATCGTTCAGTATTAAAAATAAAATCTGATACACAATAATATGATGATGTTGGTAAATTTGATGCATTTCGGCATTCAACTGTACGTTTACGTATACAACCATCATCATAATGACACTATTATTAATATCGATCAAAAATTTATAACAAACAAAACAAAACAAAAAACTCTATACATACTTCACCCCAATTTCCATAAACCCAACCAGTACCTGTACAATCACCAACACATGAAACAACATCTTTAGGTTTTTCTCCAACATATCTTCGACATATATCTTCATCCGTTGGTTCCATAGTTCGTTCTGTATAACTTGTTTTTGTACACTCATATATAACACGTTTATAACCATCACCACAACGTGTTGAACATGCTTGTTGATATCGTGTAGTCCAACTTAAATATTAAATAGATTATTATTTCTTAATTTTAATTAAACATAAAAAACAAAAAAAAAAGAAAAATTTTACCTTAATACACAATCATCATTACAACGTTCTTTTTCATATGTAAATGGTATTTTATAAGTTGAACAATAAATTAAATCATATTCTCTTCCATGTATAATACATTTTCGTACTTGTTTAAAACCTTGACAAGGTCGATCACAATGATAATCTGATGATTCATCACCATATTGTTGTGCTAAATCATCATCATCAAGTGGAGAATAATACTCCCAAATAACTAATGTTGCTGGTGCACCAGCTTGGTATATTGATATAACTTGAATTTCTAATGGAACCTTAAGACGACCTGTAATTAAAACAGTTTCATTGCCAGAATCTGATCCAGTATAAAAAAGTGTCGCACCACCAATACGTATTTTAACATTATATAATTGAAGACTATGCATTCCATTAAGAACATATGTTCCATTGATATGTTTGACCGCTAAATAAAAAAAAAATAAATTCAAATTTAAAAAAAAAATAAAAATTTGTTAAAATTTTACCTAAATAATAACGATCATTGCCTAATGATATTTGTGTAACACTTATACGTGTTGTATTAATAGGAATATCAACAATATTTGTAATTCCTAATATAAAATAAGACATATTATGGTTTATGATACAAAAGAAAACAAAAAGAAGTTCATAACAAACCAAAATCTGAAACTATTCTTTGTCCATTAACTAATTTACATGTACGATTTTGACCATTACATACACCACAAACATCTTCTGTAGCATTCGATGCATATTTATGATCACAACCAATAGGCATACAAACACCACTAATACAAATATCTCTTGTTTCATCTTCGCGTCCACATGGCGTTCCATCTTCAACACGATCACCAAGAACAAATGATCGTTCAAGTCGATCATCAGATACTTTACAAATTAATTTACATCTTTCACTTGGTAAAACTAAATTTAAAAAATAACAAAAAAAATACATTAAAAATCTATTAAAGGAAGTGACGCCTTTTCTATGGGTTATACCCTCCGTTAGTTTTTTCATTTGTTTACTTATCAATGGTGAGATGATATGAGATAACATGACCGAACATTGGACTTTTTCAGTCCTAGTAACAAAATTATTATTGTTTTAGAACAGGGTCACTTACGCATAAGATATCCAAAAAGAGAACGGTAAATATTTCTAGATTTTGTCTAACCAAAAATTAGTTTTTATTGTGAGTAAGCATAATTTTCAAAATCAACATGCAAAAAGACACTGAAAAACTGTATCTTTCATTTTTACGAATAAACAGTTCAGAGGGAGTTGAGCGAAATTTTTATCAACGATATTTTGTAATACTACTAACATTGAAAAGTTCAACATTTGAGCCAGAAGTTTTGATATCATAACACCATCCGCGATACAAAACATAATGAAACAGAAAAGATTGATTGGGAGTATATGTCTCATTTTCCTTAATGATTTTTTGCGAATTTTTCATTACCATATACACCCTCTCTCTTCAGACGTTCAAGCTATAGTTAGAAGTACCATCATTTTTTTATTATTTTGATAGACTGTAGGATAGAATCTGTCGGGTTCAAAATTTTTGAACCCAAACTCGATCAAATCGTACTTTGACACGTTCAACGAAATTTTCTAATCGGGATTGGATAGACACCCTGAAGATACGAGATATTTTTTTTTGTTTCTTTGTATTCGATGACTAACGCATCCTACACATTTCTCAGATGACGAAAGCCCATAGGGCCTCGAATTTTCGGATGCAGGGCACATTCAACAGGTCCTGCTGTATGAAACTACAATAATGATAAAAACTTCGCTTTGAAATCATGAATCATTGTGAAATTATAGGTTAAACAATCTTTCCGATGTACTGAAAAATAAGTATGTAACTGAGCAGGTTTTAATAATAGGCAGAAGTCATTAATAAAATAATTGTTTTAGATGATTTTATTATTATTTTCTAGAGAATTTTCAATAAAGATTTGGTTATTATTCATGTAACTATAGATGAAATACAAGGTAAAATAGATTATTCATTGAAAATGATTCTTTTCATAGAGTATTGACATTTTTTTCTGCCAAGTACAAGTTCTGATATAATGGTTTCATACCATCAGAATACTCACAACAAAAAAACAAAAATTGGTGAGGCGGGAGGAAAGGAGTGAGGAATGGTATAAGCTTCAATTTCTTTGCATTTCGCATAGCAAAAGATGACTCTTTCTGTTCTGCTCTATTTTTCGTAACATAGAAAAAAAACTCCTACAACAAATATTTTTCTATTTTCAATCAACATTCGACTTGATTACAATGCCACAATAACAACGGTTATTATATAGTAAGAAAAAGTAAGATATGTACAAGTAATATTCGATTAACATATGAATTTTTCTTCTAACTTTTTATTTCTTTTTAACTTACCATTATATTTTGGTTCAAATCGTACACCAACAGGTAACAAAGGATCGATAGTACGATTATTAAAGACAGAACATTGACGTTGACGAAACATATCAACAGGATCTTTACAAGGCTAAAAAAACAAGAAATGAAATAAACAATTTACAAATCAATATCAAGTAAATATTATTTACTGGATTATTTTCACATGATCGTATTCGTGTTGATTGACCTGAACAATATTGACCACCATTTTCTGGTCTGCAGAAAAAAAAAAGATACAAAATTCGAATTAAATTAGAAAATTTGAAACAAAAGAAAAAACAAATGATTCAATTACCTTGGATTATCACAATAACGTTGTGATTTTTGTACAGCACTACCACAAGTACGTGTACATGGTGACCATGATGACCATTCTCCCCAATTTCCATTTATAACTTGAAGATCTTGTGTACTTCGGCATTGACCACGAAAACAACGCTGAAAAATAATACATATTTTATTATTCTTATTGTTATTATTATTCTTATTGTTATTATTATTCTCATCAATTTATTTGAAGTCCTTGAGGCATCATAATACGTCTTTTATTTTTTGCTGCGCAATTTTCGTCCTTGTCAAAAAAAACTATATGTATGTGTATATGCACAAACAAGTCAAGACAAGACTCTGTATATATGTTATTCATTATATTCAAGTGTATGCAAAACAATTTCGAATAACTTCATTTACGATCTATCGATCGATTGATCGATCGTTTCGAAGAAAATGATTGTAATTAAGGTATGTGTATTTGTTTTTTTCTTCTTCTTCTTACTTTCGTTTCTGTCCTTGGTTCAGAACATAATGTTCCATCAGACCAATGTGCATGATTAGTTATACATGATGATAAATTAGTCGATATTTCACGACAATATAAACGATTACATTTAGGCTAGAAAAAGAAAAAGACAAATGTATATATATATATACAAAATAGATGATAATGAGAAAGTGATTGACACGTACTCCATGAATTAGAACTTGACAATATTCGAAATTAACTCCGAATGCTCGACGACATTGATCATTAAGATCACTAAAACGACCGGGTAATTCACGTGCTGTTTGTTCATTATTCAAACGTTCAAATGATTCAGATTTGTAATCAGGTATATTATTTAAACATCGATATCGATCAGACCTTAAAATAGAATTTAAAAAAATATATAGATTTAAAAATTTTCATGTAATTATAATTAATTAAGGCCCCCTCCCCCTCAAAAAATTCACTTTTCATCAGAATCATGGAAATTGAGATAAATATATAGAAAGATAGCCTGTCATTTGCTCTTTCATAAACAATAAAAATTTTCCTCTGGTACTTCCTTTTTTCCGAAAAATTTTCAAGATTTTTGAAAACTCCTATTCGAAAAACCAGCGGTCTTTAAAAAAAATCCAATTTTTTTTTCTTTTTTTCTCAAAATGGTGGTCGAATTACGTAGGCCCGCCAAAAGTCAATTATAAACCGATATAAGGTCAAATAGTTTTTTTTTTGTTTGAAAGAGCATCAAAAACTGCAGTGCCTATGAGAGCTCTTTTTTTGATAAAGCTTCCCTATTATTATATTGAGAAGCGATTTTATAATATAAGCATCATTTTTTTTTTAGGGAGTTTTGAGTGATTGAATTTGAGAAGCCTTTTTTTCTTATTAAAGATAAGAATTTAAAAAAAGGGCCCTCATAGACACTGCATCCTGACATGCTCTTTCAAATGAAAAAACAATGAACCATATTGAATGAACACTCAGAGTGATTTTTGGGGACTACGATAAGCTATTTTTCGATACTTGTTTGGTTCGTATCTACCTTATACATCAGGATAGGAGGCTGAAAATTTTACCTTAGACGTACTTTTACACCTACAACATATCCCCAAAGTTTCATGCTATCTCGATGTTCCGGAGCTGAGATCGATTTTTGAGGGGGGGGGGGGCTTAAGATAGTAACAAAAAAAAATAATCTTTGTCTTTATATTGTCAGAGCTTTTCTAAATGAAATTTTCAAGAAATTGTTACTAATCATTTTTAGAAATCATGTTGATAGTAGACATACACCGAATCTGAACGGTTCAGTTTTAATGCATGCCGTACTAATAGTTTAAGAGTTAATCTAGTGAAAGCTTTTTTAGTTTTAGTACTTCTCCTACTCATCAGAACTAAAAATTTGACTTGCACGATTTCTAAAAATCACTTCACAGAAAAGCAAACCATTGTCTGGTAGAATGAACTATTTTTAGATTGTTAATTAAAAATACTCACAGTTTAGATAAGTAAGATAAAAACTGTTTTGAAATACAATTACTGATTTTAAGGAAACTGAATTGTTTTATTCGATAGATTAGAGAAAGAAAAAGTATTTAGAATAAACGAAAAAAAATCATTTAATCGATATAATTTTAAATGTTCATTTATAAAAAAAAAACATTGATTCAGTGATGAACACTTCATTCCAGTATAAAATCAAGCTTTGTATGCTTTTTGAAATCTGCTAGACTATACGATTCTTCGTTTATTAAAGTTAAGAGAAATCTTTCAAAACAATTTTTGTCGTACATATCTAAATTATAAATACTCATTTATCATCACAGAATAATTTTTCAGCCATTCTATAGATTGCTTAAGTTGTACCACTTATGCGAGAACCTCCCGAGATACTCTTTCTCAATCTCAATAATTTTTTTGCTTATCAATACTATCTTAGTATTTTAGTGGAAACCCGAAAAGAATTTGAGTGCCCATGAAGACTTGGCAAAACTATTGGATTTTCATAGAGACCCCTATATGAGCCCAGGTATTCGAAAAAATTATCTTTTAGAATTTGATCTTAAAACTACTTCCATCTGAAGACCTTACATCGTATAGCTTGTATGAAGAGTTTCAGAGTTTGAAGGTATCATACCTTCCAATTATGAACTTTTCAAAATACACCATGCTTCATAAAGTCTTTATTTTTGAAAAGTTCATAGCTTAGAGATATGAAACCTTCATATCCTAAAACTCTTCATACAAATTACTGTATATGAGACCTTCAGATAGAAATAGTTTCAAGACAAAATTTTAAAACAAGATTTTTTCGAATACTAGGGCCCATACACGAGTCTTTGTAAAAATTCAATAGTTTCGCTAAGTCTCCATAAGAATTCAAATCTCTTTAAGGCTTTGTCTAGAATAATGAAGGTTTCTTCGTTAGTCAATCAAATATCAATTATAAAATAATATTCTTTTTCTATCTGATAAAAATTAAGTAAACCTACTCAAGATATTGAGTAAAATAATGTCGACTACAATTCGACCATTTATAATGATTATGATTAAATGTTAATGAAGTAGCCATTATATTTTGTTCTGTTGTATGATCTAAACATGCTTTGTCATTATCATGTCGAATACCAAATCTATACAAATAAAAAGAAAATTAATTATTTCATAGAAAATTTTCATTTCCTTACAAATGAGCAATTTCATGAGCAATTGTAAATGCAGTTGCAAATCCGTTGTCACGTACGACAGCACAATTTGATGTAAAATTACACATTGTACCTAATTCAGTTAATCCTAATGTGTCACATTTGCTATCTGTTACATTTTTAGCTCGTTTATTACATAAAGGTGTTCTAAATACAAAATAAACATAAATTAGAATGGACATGTTTTTTTTTTCTTCTTTTGTTAACATTATACCTTGTAAGAAGAACAGCTGCATCATATGTACCTGGTGTATTATAATCTTTTTGCCATTTACAAAATCTACCTAATATATCAGCTGCATCATCACTATATTTTATATATTCCTAATTAAAAAAAAACAAATAAAATAATAAAAATTAATTTTCTATTAGAATATTCTTACAGTAATATCTTGGCCTAAATCGACTAATTTAACAAGCCATATTTTAATATTATTACCAATACTTGCATCAGAATATAGATGTGATACCTTAACAAAAATGAATGAATTTTAATATAGGAAAAAAAAATTTTTTTGTTTTTTTTTTTTGAAACTTACATAGCTGAAAAGTGTGAGAATGTATGATTGAATATCAGCATCTGAATGGAATTCTTTTATTGATTGATCGTAAGCAACAAGTACTTCAACATGTTTAGCCATATGATCAAAATCAAATTGACGTTTAGCTCGACGTTTTAAATGAATATTATTAGATTTATGTGCAAGATCATTTTCGACATTATTTAATAATATATTAGTCGAGAAATTTGAATAGGAATATTTGGAAGAAAAGTCTTTGGAAAATTGTTTATTTCTATATCGCCGCAATCGTCGTGTTGGGGATCGATGATAATGAAGATAGGATTTATGTTTTTCAAAATAAGGTTCACCTATATAAATATATATATTTAAAATAAATTATGAGAAATAATATAATTATTTACCAGTTACGGGACATCGTACTGTTGGATCATTATCTGCAATTGACGATATTGAATCTTTATGTGTGTAAAATAAATGTTCAAAATTCCATGAAGTATCATTCTCATGATATTTAGGTTCAATAAAATAATCTGTGCCATTATACATAAAGGTACCCAGCTAAAAATAATATTAAAATTATACAAAAGAAAAAAATAAATATTCAATAAAAGAAGCATATAAAATTAAAATTAATTTAATTTAATATCAAATGTTTCTTTTTTTGGTAGTAGAAATGAAGCCTTAGATAAATATTATTTGATATTTATCTTTATATTTGTAAATAAATAAAATATGTTTATATAAAAACATTTTGCAATGTTCTCTTAGTCACATTTAAATGGTTTCTTTGTAAATATGCTATCGCAGAAGGATATTTTTTTTTGTTAGGTTTCGTATGAAAGTATTTTGTTTTTTTCTAAATGTACGATAATGTCGATTATGAAAAACATGGAATGATAAAATACGGATTTCTTTTTCGAAAAATTTTTCTAATTGATAAAATCTCTATTGTCAAAAATCTAGAAGTTATAACCGAACCAATAACTCATCTTTCATTGAGAATAGATAATGAAATATTGTCAACAGTTCTCTACTATCATTCTGTCAGTTCTAGACAATACTATATTGATTGATTGAAAGTGATAACTTGGTTTAAGAATAATATCATCTAACATATGTTTCTGTTATTAATAGAATAATACATACCAAACCATGACATAAACTAATTGATATAGTAGAAAAAGGATTTTGATTAACATAACCCTTATAAAAACAATGTTCAATATCTTTAGTTATCCATGTGCGATTATGATCGAAATGTTGTGTAATAAATGATGGTGCTAGAAATGTTTCATCTTCGATTAATGTTAAATCAAATGTTCGATTAAAGACATATATACGATAATATAATGTCTTATTAATATTATCAATAAATGTTTTTATTGAACGTTTATGACGAATAGTTGAGGTAGAATATGTTCCATCGTTATCTCTTAATCGAGCTTTCCAATCAGGTACGAATGAGAATGATTTTGATGATCGTAATGATCGGGGAATGACAATTTCATAGGCAAACTGTTCTTGCTCGACCGTATCTAAAGAAAAGTTAATTAATATAACATATATCTTTTGCCAAAATAAACTTAATCATCTGATTAATTATGGATAACAAAAAAAAGAAAAAAAAAGTTATATCCTGCAATGTCATTTGATTTTTTCTATCGTATAAACGATTTTTATCTAAATACAACATTTGATATAATACATTAGCAAGAGAAATCGATCAGTAATGCTTATTCGATTTGTTTATATGTGTATATATATATATATCTCCGCATGTTAACAACTTTAGGATGTGTTAGTGTTTCATATGAATAGTCGTATATATGTACATTGACAATAATGATCGTTAATCATGTTTAACCTTGTCCCCATGAAATATACGAGTACACATTTTTTTATAATATTTCTTATCGTAGTTAGAAATATATGCATATGTAATGTTTTCTTTTATTCCGCCTGATTGAGTTTACTTGCGCATGAATCGTGTTGAATCGTTCTCTTTTTTTTTTTGCATTACTAATGTTGTTGATGAGAAAAAAAGCGACTCTGTCTGCTGTATATTTGCATATGTGTGATCGTTTAGATATTTACAGATAGTTAAAAACGTCAATGAAAAAACTGTTTTTTTTTTCTATTTATATACATATATATGAATTACATTGATAGTAAATAAATATGTATATAGTTTATTAGAGCAAATAGGTGTATACTTGAGTATTTTGTCCTTCGATATTTTATATGGCTTTATCGAATAGACGGATTAGAAAGCGTGAAAGATGATATTTTTTTTTTATGAATTGATTTCTAGGCAATTGTCTGTTCTGTTGGTAATACTAGCGATAACGGTGCCTTGATTATCTTACAGATCTCTAATGATTATTTATTTGTATTGCGCGGACATTTGCAACAGCGTGTCGAATAGCGACTGACTTCTGCCCGCAAAGATCAGTCGTTTGTTATCTTTCGTAGCAAGTGTTCTGTTTCACAAAATAAAAAACGAGAGAGAGAGAGAGAGAGAGAGCAGAAGAGAAAAGAACAAAAAAAACCAAGAGAAAGATGGTAAACGTAGATGAGATCGAATTTTTTTTTTAATGTTCTCATAACGTTTCTGTATATTATGTAAAGGTCATCTCTTGTTTTTTTCTCACTTTGGACTTCAATAATAAACTCTCATTCTTTTTTTTTTTGTTTTATGTGCAACGTAATCGTGTATCTACTTGTTAATGTGTACATATGTTATCTCAGCGACAGCAACGGCAAACACTTTTCCTCTTGAAGGTTGCCGTCAAGTGCAGCATTTTTGGAGACAGATGTAATTCAGATTTATTTGACCTTTGTGTAAAATAGGAAGAAAGAGTGAGAGAGAGAGAGAGAGAGGAAAAAAAAAGATATATTTTGCTACTCGAAACCGTTTATTTCGAGGCGTAACGTAGGTTTGTAGTAACGTCTCATATAACTATCGAAAGTATGCATACAAAAAAAAAGACATTTATTGCGTGTGGAGGTCGTTGAAAATTGTACAGTAGATGCACACGAATGAACATATTGACTGACTATTCGAAATAAAAGAACCTTTAAAAAAGAAAGAAAAAAGGAACATATACACACGCACATACATATTCAATAAAAGAAAAAAAGTAAATATATAAGACGGAAGCAGATCAAACCACTTGACAACTTCGTCCCTGAAGATCAAAATCAGTTTTTATGAGCATTTATGTAAATGTGTATGCAAAGCAATGAAAATTCATAGATATACACTTATATATACGCGTAGACACGCCTCTTATCAAGTGCTTGTGCATGCATTTTATTACATAACACAAGTAAACTGACATCACTCTAATTGATTTTTATACCGTCAATTGAAACCATCAAAGTTTTTTTTTTTTTTTTTTTTTATATGAATCAGCTTCTGTATACAATCACCAACAACATTGATGGCAAGGTTTTATCTTGTTTGTCATTCCAGACAACAAGAGTTTATCGTTTCTATTTAGCTATAGCCTTCGTGCTGACACCCTAATTTTGTCGAGGGAAAGTGTGTGTGTGTGCGTGTGCGTGTGCGTGTGTATGCAGGCATACCAAAAAACAATATCTTAGAAGATAACAGAGAAATAAACTAAATGTCGAGACATTCGAATGCCTGAGAATCGCTTTTTTTATGGGAATATTATTGTTTAAAATATTTTTTCATTATCTTTCATATCTTGTTATGAAGTATAAGAAAAGCAAGATTATGAAGTTAATAGAAATTAATCAAAATCAAGCAAAAAGCACGTTTTCTCTCAAGAGAATAAAACTTCTTCCAAAAATATGATGTGAATATGTCTTATCAAGGTGACATAATCTTGATTAAGATTAAATGCTATAAGAGAAGAACGATGCATATTTATATATCCATATATGTGGTAAGCTTTCTTCTCTTTCCTATCAGACTCTAGCGGTTTTTTTTTGACACATCAATCGATTGTGGTTTGTATGTCAATCATCGAAAACTAGCGAGAAGCAGTTGCTCTGATCGATAGATCGATTGATCGATGTACATTGAATGTATAGATAAACAAAAAAAATCAAGATATTTTCTTTTTGTACGATCCCAATGCTTGTTGTTTCACTTAAAAAGACGTTACTACAGCTACCTTATATTTCAATGACAAGATTTATATGTGAGATTTTCTTTCTACCCTTCAAAAAGACTATTAATGCTGTTGTTGTTGTTGCACCCGAATGAGTGTCATTAACCACCGTTTATACTTATGTCGCTTTCTTCTTCGAGACAACATCACCACGACGTAACACTTCTCACCAGTAGAAAAAAAACAGAAGCAAAATAACGTCTAGCAATAAAATGGTGACATATCGTTACCAAACTCCATCAGATTCCTTCAAGGTTGCAAGTCGTGCTGATTCATGTATATATATACATATATGTATATATATGCATATTTATATCTATATATCGGATTTAATCATAAGTCTGCAATAAGAGAACAAAAGAAAGAAAAAAAAAGGTGAAGAAGGAAAACATCAAATAATTACTAAATTGATATAGATCAAAGATCAAATTACATTATTATATCACTTTATAGTATACCGGTACTTAAGCTGCTTTCACTTCACGTATAACTACATATATATATATATATATATATACACCAATCAATGTAGAGTTAAAACCATAAGAATGAATAATGATGGTTTCTATGTTCTATCGAAATAATTCAATTAAATAAAGAATAATACTCACTTGTCGTTATTATTGAGCTAGTTTGAGTAATGATCGAGTTCGACAATGATGACGGTAACGAGCACAGGACAGTAGTAGCAATAGCGGCGAACATCATATGGATGTCGAAATGCATCTCAAGCACACCGGCTACTCAGAAAATTAGAGATGTTCCGGCTTGTCGCCGTAACGGCGACAGACTGAGAGAAGGCTGCTGTGGTGACTTCTGTGGGCCGTTGATATCCATCAGAGACTCTAGAAACACACCAGCGCTTCCAAATCGATGGAGATGGGACGCGAAGTCGGTCGCACGAGAGAGTGAGAGAAGGAGAAAAAAAAAGAAAACAACCACAAGAGGGCAACCACAAGAAACGAGAAAGAGAAGAGAGAGAAGCAGAGCAAAACACCCGATGAAATGAGTATTCGACATCGCAAAAAAAAAGCCAGAGAACGATGAAGGAAAGAGAGACAGCGAGAGAAAGGAAGAGATTCTTTTTTCCTGTACAGATACTAAACACATTTTTTAGTTTTTCTCCTTTTTTTTTCTTTCTTTTTTAGTGCTCTGTCTCTCTTTCGCGGTGCGTTGTGTGTTTTTTTTTCACAATTACTTCGTCGCTTCGTTTTTGCTATTCGCTGTCTGTGACCGCCGCACCAGCAACAAAAAACAAGCTACAGGTCGACGCAAGAACACCAACGAAGTAGAAGCCTAAAAAAACACACATGCAAACATACAAGAAAAAACAAAAAGGGTTAAAACGAACTACAAAAGAAAACAACAGAAGACGAATATGATGTACGTGCATTTGCATAGATACACGTATTAATTATAAATCCACTATTCAGTTTCGTCCTTGTTGTTGTTGTTATTGTTTTTCGAGCCTTCATATATTTCTTTTGTTTTATGTCACCTATCCTCGATTCAAGCATCACTTCACTTTTCCTAAATGCACACTTGAAGATTTATGATAGACAGCTTCGTTTGTTTCAATGTACTATTACAATTCAGATTTGTTTTACTTAAAAGCAGTTGTACATCATATATTTATGAATGAGAATCCAGGGTATCATTATTCATTATTATTATTATTATTATTATCAAGTCGTGGGTGCATAAGAAAAAAATATATACATATACAAGTCTTGACGTTGCTATCGGGCTGACAATTCTTTTTCTCTATATGACATAAAGACACACAAGAAAAAGAACAATATTCTTATGGCAAGAAATAGGAAATGTTCTAATCGTTGTTACTTCAATACAAATCATCTTGTTGGATAAAAAGCAAACGTTCTTTTTCTGTATATCTGTATGGTAGAAGACTGTCTTGTAAAGCAGTTCGCACAAGACCGTCAGATGTTTTCTATTACGATTGACTTCTTCGTTTATATGCTTCTTTCCGGCGACTAACGACAAGGACAGAAACGACTGGTAAAAAAATCTATAATAGCCACAGAACAAATGTATCAGAAGAAAAAAAAAATAAGAAAAAAAATATCTACTGCTATAATTGATGAAGATCGATGAAGATCTACGAAATCTACAAGATAACTATCCTCCCTTCCTCCCAAACAATACAAAATATCATAATTAAGAAGATAATAAAATAAAATGAATCAATTTATATATTTACAGAAAAAAAAATCGGATAGAATATTTATATAAGCAAAAAAAAAAACAAATTATTTTTTCTTTTTTGTTTTTCCTGATTTTTTCTTCGGTAATTCGACTGGAGTTAAAAGTATTTTTTGTAAATCTATAATAATTAACAAAAAATTAATATTAAAAATAAATAATAGATAACGATTGTTTACCATCATGAAGAAAATAACCATCAGCACAGCTAACTTGTGATAAAATTAATTGAATTTCTTCTTCTGGCCAATCACAATTTTTAAGTAAATCTACAAACTCATCAACCATTAATTTAGATTTGTTTTGTGGATCAAGTGTATCAAATGCTTCTTGCAATTTTTCTTTATCTTCTTCAGGTGGTATCCAATATTCATGAACAACTGTCAGAAAATCAGCAAATGATAAATGATCGTCGGGTTGGTAATCTAGATTAGGATAAATAAGTATAATATTTCAATAAAATACAAACTTTTCATAGAATTCATATATAATCAAAAAAAAAGTCAACAGATATCGAATAGAATTTAAATAACTTTTTTTTTGTTCTATTTAAAGTTTTACGGATTTTTAGAATTTATATATATATATATATATACGAACCTTCGTCCTCATCATGTTGAACTGATGTTTTAAGTGTTTTAGCTTTTTCAATCATATCTTTAATAACATCTTCTGGTGGATTTTGACCTGAATGACGAAATGCATCACCAATTTCTTCTATACGAATATAATCATTTTTTTTAGATACTTTTTTAAAACCAAATTTAAGTACTAGAATATAAATAAAATAAAAAAAAAGATTAGCATTCAAATACTAGAATACAAAAGTTTTTTTTTATGTCGTGGATTAAATAATTGCAATATCAAAAAAAAACCAAGGTGAATTTGTTATTATATATTCATAACATTTTTTTTTGCTGTGTGTTTATGTGTTAGAAAATCCTTGTTTTTTTTTTACGTCCTAATAACTTATTATTAATCCTTTTTTTAGTTATTCTGATTTTGTTGTATTTTGAAATCCTATCTTGGTTAATGTAAATATTCGAATCAGATTTCTTGACGTTATAAGACGCATTCGATTCGTTTAGAGTAACATCTGTCTATATTTGCATGCATTATCTCAATCATGTCTCTATGCCATGAAGAGGCAATTTTAGCTTCGACAGCTGCAATATTTCACATTTTGTTTATCTTGATAGTTCTTATTGTTGTTATTATAATAAAATAAATGCTATTAATTGTATGAAGAAATAGAAATAAAATAAAAAAAGTTTAATAATATTAAATAATAAATAACTTACATTCTCGTGAAGATTCATCTAGTATTTGTTCGTAGTTGACAGTTGTTTGACCAAGGTCATTGCCAACTCCCTATAGAAAAAAAGAGAAAAAAAGAAAAATAGGAAAGAATGATAAATTGTGTTTGATTATTTATAATTATTACAAGAAAATCAGTTGTATTACTCAATGGTGCTGTCAAAGTTTGTTCCATTGACATGGTATTCGATTGGCGAAAAGTATCAAGTCGTTCATCAGAATCCATTATAGAATTTTTTTTCCTGTAGTTCTTCAATCCTTTTTTTTTCTTCTTTTGAATGGTAATGCACTAATGCTTTGTCTGTAACTTCAACGTTGCCAAGGTGAGCCTTGGTCGTTATTGACACACGAAAGAAATAACGAATCATGTCGTTTTTTTTCTTTCTTCCCGGTCGTTCCTTTTTAGTTTGGTTGTTGTTATCGTTATTCTTTCTTTTTTTATTTCACTATGTAAGTTAAAAGCAACTTCATGCTGTGACATACACACACCCATATAATCTGATTTCTTTTTTAATTTTTGTATGTTTGTCTGTTTTTTTTTGAAGAAAAATGAAATTACCATCATCACCTTTAATTGTCTATTTTATTGTTTATTCTATTTTATTTTTATTATCAATCATTTTACATTTTCTTTTACTTTCATATATTTCTTCACCATTATGTCGTACTTATCTGATTGATTTTTGTATAACATGTATTTTATTTTTTATTGGTAATCATATTTTTTCATCGAACAATATATATGATCTTCATTGGCCTTTAGTTCCATTAATTTGTTCATTGTATTTTAATTTTACATTAAATTCAATTGAATTTTTTCCATTTAAATGTCTTCCACTTATTATTCTTATATCTTTATGGTCATTTCACTTAATATGGCAAACAATATTTTCATCAAATAATATTAACAATGAAGATCGGCGTTATCAAATGATGCGAAAACGATATGAGAATAATTTTATATTGTTTGCATTTTTTGCTTTACATTTATTACCAATGTTTGAAGTATTAATTGGTTCATCATCCATATATTACATCTATAATAATATTCATATATATGAAAGTTTGACAATAATGGATATTTTATTATTGTTAATTATTTTTTCCGGTGTTTTATTAGAAAATATTGCTGATAAGCAATTAGCAGCATTTCGACGTCATAAAAAAACATCAAGGGAACATAGATTTGCTGTTTTATCAAGTGGCCTTTGGAAATATAGTCGTCATCCAAATTATCTCGGTGAAATAATATTTTGGTGGGGTTTATTCTTTCTTGGCTATGCTTATAATGCACCATTGTGGTGTGGACTAGGCCCATTACTTATTACATTAATGATGATATTTGGATCAATTCCAATAAGTGAAGAACATTTATTTCGTACATATCCTGATTATAAATTTGTCCAAAAACAAGTATCAATGTTAATTCCAACATTTGGTTTTTGAGAAAAAAAATATTTTAGTTTTATTTTTTCATTCATTTTTAACTGTCCATATTATGTATGATGATCAGATAAATTTATTCGCGCTTCATTTCTTTCGTTTTATTTTTGTTCTTCTTTTTTGGTGGTTTGGATTCTTTCGAGCGCATATAGACATAATTGTAAAAAATATAGAAATTAAACAAATATATATATACAAATTAAAAGATATGAAATACACAAATTATTCATAGATTATAGGAAATGAAAATGTACTGTTTAATTGACAAAAAAAAAATCAACGATATAGGCTTGTTTTTTCTCTAAGTATTGTTATTATCATTATTTTGAACGTGACCAGAATAAAGATCTGCTAGACGTGAAAATTTTGGTTTTTATGAATAAAAAAATCTATAATCATTTTCATCTTTTAAAGATAAAGATTCAATAGAACTTAAATCTAATGCTATTGAATTTTCACCTTCATATTGATAATGTAATTTTGTATCATTTACATATGATATGACTTGTTCATTAAGTTTTTTCTCAATATAATTACTAAGTGATGGTCGATGATAAATCCTTGAATTATTATAATCTAAAACAATATAAATAAATATAAAAATACTATTTAATGATATATTTATCTAGATTATTGATACTCGATGGACCATTATTGGATATAATATTACTATCTCGTAAATCATATATTGGTTTTTTTAGTACACGTAAGTTATATCTCGAATGATCTTCTTCGCCGGCAGTCTCTCTAAAGAAAAAAAGACATTAATTAGGAAATAGATATCTATAAAATGTGAAATACTCGCAAAATATTATGTTTGATAATGAACTATAGACAATTTTGTAATATCTTTCTAGGTTGTCTTTTGTATTGAAATAGGAGCAAGTATTATATCTCATTGGAATCACTATATATTGACTTTCAAATGTATTCTTATTATTTTTTTTCTAGATATTGTTTTTTATTGTTGAGAAAATCATGTTCTTTCGATTTTCTGCTACTTTTATATATGCTAAAATCATGAAAAATATGCACATACTAACTTAATTGTACTTTTGTATTTTCGTAATACAAAAAAAAAACAGATAAAATACTCGGAATCAGCGTAAAAAATTATAACGAATTATATATCTTTTAACAAAAACGTTTTTCATTAACATCATTTCTCTCGAGGGCAACAAGGAAAATTTTCAAATAAGCATGTCTGCAGGGATACAGACATAATAGGATTTGTTTGAAGGTCAATATCTAGTGATTCTAAGAAGATGTGACACTTAGTCCTATCTCTTAATACAAAAAAACCTAGGAAAATTTACAAAATTGTCTATCAATATCACAAAAACATGTTTGAGTAGTCTTATTCAACAGAACCATGTCAGACAACACTTTCATTATGACAATAACAAAAAAGTTGAAAATTTCTGATAAAAATTTGTTTTTTAGATGTTTTTCTTACTTTCCTAATCTTTTCTTTGTTGTCCTAAAAACTGAACTAATCAATTTATAAATAATGTATCTCTGACTAACTTTTCATGCTCTACTGAATGGTATATAAAGAAACGAGAAAGAAATGTACTTGATTTTTGCACTATGCACATCTTAGTACTTTAATATTCAAAAAATTCTTTTCTATATTACTGCAATCCTCCAATGAATTAAGAAGAATTAATGATGATATTTGAAAATTCAGTATGAAATAAAAAGCATATCGTTAAAGTTCATTCTTACTTATTGATAAGAATATTAAAATCAAAAAAACAAAAAAATAATTTCGAAATTATAATCAAGTTATCTACTTACAATGTTCTATTTAGAGAAACTAATTAGCATTGATTAGAACTTTGTCAATATTATACAGATTAATATTTATATCAATTAATTATTCAATCGAACTGAATCGAAAAAAAAGAATCGATTCCAGTTTTATTTTCTAATATATTTAAATTACTTCTTAGATATATAAACAAAACTATTCGTTAGCGATGTGATGGAGTACGAAAGAATGCTCGTTATCAGTGAATGAAAAGTTCAAAACTAATGCCAAATGGTACAAATCCTTCTTCAGAATCTCTAGATGATGGTAAGAAAAACAATTTTGTTTCGGGACTTGACAGAATCTCTAAAAAATCGATTTTTAAGAAGATGATTTATTTGAGTTCGATCTTACTGAAAATTTCATCCTGAATGCTGCTCGTACCTTAGTGTCTATCCTTAACCCTTTATACCCTATTGAGTCATTTTTGACCCATTCATACAAAGTTTTGCAGAAAATACAGGAAGCATGGTGTTGAAAACTCCCAAAACAATATTGGTACGAAACTCCATAAGCTATCGATTGGCAAAAAATTATGTTGTTTCGTTGCTCTAGCTCCGAGATATATGACTTTCAAAATTATCGATTTTGAAAGAATTTAAGAATAACAAAATTTTAAAAACAAAACGGTTTTTCACTCACACACAATAGGGATTTCGAGGCTGTATTGTGTCATCTATATCGATAGTAGTGTCTACTATTTAACTAAATTCGTTTCAAAAATTTCAGAGTGGCTTGGCAGATAAGAAATGGTAATATACCAGATGGATTCTGAAACGACTATTGAATAGAAAGAGGAAGATGGCGGACACCATGAATATATTATTCGTAAATCTTATCAGAGTAGCAGTCGAAAAAAATATTTATCATCGATTAAATGTCTTCATTGATGATATAATTACTTAAAGAAAAATGTGTATTTTTAAAAAATCTCTGTCAAAAATACATGTGGTGTTTAAAAATAGTTTTTTATATTCGTAGCTTTTCTTTTTGGATTTGAATCTAATAAAAAGGAATAGAAAGCACATTTGTCTAATTAACACCATCATAAACAAGAAAAGAAGTAGGGCTTTTAAAGCTGTTCCATCCCCTTCTCTGTCTCAATGATCACTGTGGTTATCAAATTTCTCTGAACAAAAGGTAGTGCGCCTGATCGATCTGCCCATACCATTGGTATGTTGGGGAGACCAATACTCTATTTTTGTGGTAATTTTATCAGCGACTCTTCTGGAACCGCTTCAGGGTATAAAGGGTTAAGTTTTCGGAATTTTTTCTCATATTGTTAAAGAAATATGGGCTAATTACTTTTGGAATTAATAGTTAGCTGAAAAAGCCAATATTTTTTCATATGTATCTATGTTAAACGAACCTATTGAGAAAACTAATCCTTGAAAAGGATAAAAGTCAAATGAAATGTGGATGTGTTCCATTTTGCCTGAAATGAGTTATATACAAATTTCATATATATTTTTGTCTTACTTATAATTAATAATATTATCTCTTCTATCATTCGTATATAATTCTTGTAATGCTTTTAATTGTTTTCTTTTTCTTGTAAATATCAATAAAAATATTGTAAATATTATTGCTAATAGTAATAAAACAAGTACAAAAATTAACCATATATACCAAGGTATTATAATATCTCTAACATATTTTCTTGTAATACATGAATTTGTAATTGAACATGGACATTCACCATAATTAGAGTTCATTGATGATAAATCCTTAGACATATCAAGATAATAACCATTTGATAAAACATTACGTATACAACCATTAAATGTATTTATTGATGGTAATATTGGATAAAGACTAGATACAAATGAATCAATTATAGGTAAACCACCAAGATATAATTTAACAGTTGATAGATCATATATATTTAAAGTATTATTTACTAACTGTAAATCATATAGACAATCATTAATTGATATAAGAACAATCGAATCAATAAACTAAAGAAAATTAAATGAGTAATATTTATATGATAGTGAAAATAAATTAACCTGGCATTCAACATGATACCATGTTGATGGATTCAATAGAGTTTTATCTGTATCAAATATTGTATTTCGAAAATGAAATCTTAATCGTTTTTGATAAATTTCAATTGCTATCCAAAAAAAATCATTTATTGGTGATGAATTTCGTCCATATAATAAAATTAAACTATCAACTATTTGTGATCGTACAATAAAATCAAATGAAAAACGTGCTGGAGCTATATGAGAAAAACTTGTACCAGCATATATTGCATATCCACCATCATTTCCATTAAATGTTCGTCCAAGTATTTCACAACATGGTCCTATTGAACCATATGATAATAATGATATTGATGAACAATATGTTAAATTATTAAATGTAGAAGTTATACATTCATTTGGTTTATTTCTTAAATTAACAGTATAAGTAGAATTTATACAATCAGCTGAATCAAGAATATTAATACCAACGAATGATGTTAAATTTGTATCAATAGTAAAAGGTTTTGGTTGAATAGTTCGTGTTGGTCGACAACTTGTACCTTAACAAACAAAAAAAGAAAAGAAAAGAAAAGCTTTTAAATTAATTTCTACAAGATTAATAAAATTTTTTCTCGTCCTATACTTCAACACTCTTTTCAGACTATGCTTAACAAAAAAAAACAAGAAGCCAAGAATGAAAATTCTTTTTACCCATAGGACAAACATAATTGTTACAAGGATTTGGTCCACTAGCTATTGCTTTTATTTGAAAACGTGATTCAAATAGATTAAGATTTGTATTGAGTATCTGTTCAATTTCAAATTTATTAAAAATTGGTACATAAAATATAACATCAGTTAATGTTTCATTTTTATCTAGTTCAAAAGGTTTTGGTGGATAATATAGACTTCGATATTGATATACAGAACGTATTGCAAGTATTTTTATTGAATTAATAGTAACAGATAATAATGATGAAATTGCATTTTGAAGTTTATTAAGAGGATAACCAAGTGTTGGATCAATTAAAGTTTCAGGATATTCACCTGAAAAATAACATAAACTTTTATATAAATTAAAAAAAGGAATCATGAGATAATTGATTAAAAAACGATTATTTTCTTTATACATTCATTGCATAGATATCTGAAACCCCTAATTCTGAAATTCTATTGTTCAATGCCCGTTCTTTCACAAGTTAGTCAATACCGACTTTTTATCAGTATCATATTCTTAGCAGAAAAACAACAGCAAAAGATACTCTCCGAGAGAATAAAATGACTTGTTTCAATATAATACAATGTTGATCGACTCAAATTTAATAAGGTCAACATGAATGAAAACCAGCTCTTTCGATATCTATTCGATAACAATCTATCTCCTATTAGAACTCAAAATCAAAGAAATTCAAGCTAGATTTTATATATATTATATAACTCTTTATTTTTTACAAAATGGTAGAAAAATATTCAAAACTAAATGGTGCCTTCGCAGTGAAACCAGATTCGCATCGCTCTCTCTTTCATAATGATTTTTCAATAGAAAAAAAAATAATATTTTTAGCGGTTTTTATTACCGTGACATGTTAAGCAAAATAAACACGAAATTCGGAATCAGCGTCAAAAATTACATTGAATGAAATACACTTTATAGAAATTTTTTAAAATTTTGATTTACAATTCTGTTATAGCGATGAAAATCGACAACATCCTTTTCTTTCTATTGAAAAATCATTATGTAAGACAAAGATGTGAGTCTCATTTTATATCGAACATGCCATTTTGTAGAAAATAGAAAAGTTGTATAACATACATAAAATCCGGTTTGGATGTTTTTTGATTGTGAGTTCTGATAAGAGATAGATTGTTATCAAATGAACATCGAAAGAGTCATTTTTCATTCATATTGATGTTATTAAACTTGAGTCGATCAACATTGTATTATATTGAAATAGATCATTTTGTTCACTTTTTAATTCTCTATTTTTTAGTATATTTTATAAAAAAATTTGAGTGATTCTTTGAAACGAAAACAAGTAAGACTTTTACAGAGTATTTTTTTGCTGTTGTTTTTCTCATAAGACTATGATAGTGATAAAAAGTCGGTATTGACTAATTTTTGAAAGAAAGGATATTGAACGGTAAAATCTTGAGGTTAATGATTTCAGATATCTATGTGCTAATTGCAAATTGTTGTTTTTTTTTTTTGAGAGCTTCATTAACTCGAAAGTCTCATCATTTCTTTCTTAAGATTTTATTTACCTTGAATACGAATTGTTGCTGCTTGTCGAACATATTCACTATTCATAGTTTCTACTTCAAGATAAATTGTACTTAAAGCTGATAATCCTATATTAGGTTTTGTAACATCAACATATATTGTATAAGATCCTGGATATAATACTTCTGATGTACGTAAAAATCCTTGTAAAACATTAAATATTTGTCCATTACTAACATATTTTATTGAATAAATTCTATCAGCACGAAACCAATCATTTAAATCATTAACATAAATTGAACCAAGATCAATATTACGTAATGAATTTTGATAATCATTTATATAAATAACTTTAATCATTTTAGAACCATTTGATATTGGATATATATTTAATTCATCACGAATTATAATTGGAATTGTTGTTATTCTAGAAAAACCTTTATTATCACTTGCATTAAATGTCACAGTTAAATTTTTTGTTAATGTACGATTTAAAATACCATTATATATCAATTGATAAGATCCATTGAAGTTTATTGTTGGACCAATAAATTTAAAATTTGATGGAGGAACAATTTTAATTGTATAAGGAACTGTATTATTTTCTTTTGGATCATCATAATCTTCAAAAATAACTTCAATATTTGAATTGATACCTTCTTTTAAAATCCATGGAAAATTCTAAATTAAAAAATCAAAAACAAAAAAACAAATATTATTAAATTATAAAAATAAAAATTTTACCGTTGGTATTGGTGCTTTATTATTTACATCAATTACTTTAATACTAACTGGTATATAACTTGATACACCTAATCCATCTTCATCAATAACATGTATTGCAAAATTATATATAGAATCACCAAATGGTAAATCACGAGAAAGACCAGGTGATTTAATACCAATTGTAATATGATTATTTATTTCATTTAGAAATAAATTATTTAAATTTAATCGATAATTAGTATCATAAATTTCATAATGAAGAGGTGACTTTGGATTATCAGGATCAATTGCTTGAATCTAAATAGAAAAGAAATAATATCTGACAACAAGTTCATGGCTTCTTTTTTTGTAAAAAAACGATCTAAAAGAATAGATAGAATAAAACAATATGCTTGTGATCAGTTGCATACGCAAACAGAAAATCCTACATTATCCGTAAATAGTATTTCTTCCTTTTTGCATCGATCAAAACTATCTAATAGCCTAGTTCAACATATAAATTATATTTGTGCTCATTCAATAACGAAATGAACACAAAAACTAAAATGAAAATTATATTTTTAGAGAACGTTGTTCATATAGTTCTCGGATTAAGTCTAAGAAAATAAAAATTTGGTAGTCAAGAATATATTTATTTTCAATGTATCTTTAGTAGAGGGGTTAGAAGTGTGCTTAGCACATCCCGAACTGAAATATTTCCTCTGCCACTATATATTTTTCGTTCTGAATAGACAGAAGCTAGTTGCGGAAGAATTGATTCGCCAGTTGTGATTGATGATGCAAAATCAGGAAGAAACTCTACACGAGATCTAGATTAGGAGATATTTTCGTGTCGTATGGATACTTCAGGTGGATTCAATACGTCAACCTTATCTAATGCACGTCAAACTGTGAAAAAAAAATAATGTTCTAACAAAAAAAAATCACAATTTCTCTAAGTTCGGTATGCAGCTGAAGCGACCAGTTTTATCCGAAAAAATCACTAGTTTTTATCACATGAGAGAAATACAATGTGTAATTATCATTTCTGTATCTGATAGAAATTTTTGTATTATCGAGTAGATTCAAACAGCTATTTTCAATTTTGATAATATCATGGAAAGAACGCTATTTGTCAATATGACAGTACAACTAGAAGATAAAAAACAGAAGAAAATAAAGTTTTCATTCGTTGATTATTTTCAAATAACGATATATCTATTAAATGTTTTCGTTTAGAAATTTGCAAAATAAATTTTTTTCTGTGTATATGAAAATTTACATAGGATTAATATCGAAACTTGACATGTATATTTTTAATCTCGAAAAAAAAACAATAGAAATCATCTCTTAAATTTAAAATTTCTTAAGAATCCTAGTAGAATAACTTACAAAAGGTTCATCGAGTATTGAATACGAAGTTTCTTCAAATACTTGATATTGATAAGAAGTAATACCAGGCATTAAATCAAAATAAGGTGCTTTTGTATTTTGTGGTTGTAATTTAACTATGACATTAATTGTTGCTATATTTTTTGTATCAAATGCAAATAAAATAAGTCTATAATCTGATATTAATTCATAATCTAATGGTGAAATAACTTTTAATTGTCCTATAGCTTCATATTGTGTACGCGTTAAATTATTTGAATTATCTGTTAATAAAGTAAATATAAAAGTATTTCGAAAATTTCCATTTAATATTCCTAAATTAAGATTAGTATCAATATCTAAATCAATTATTGTTAAATTATGAATATTTGTACCAATAACTGTTGTTTCATTTATTAAAATATTTATCAATGTTAATCCATTATTAAAAACTAAATAAACAATTATGTTTCTTTATTTTCTTTTTTTTTTCGTCATATTCGAAGAAATTTACCTGGTCGTTTATCATTAATACTTATAACTTGAATATCAAGCTGAAAATCTTGTGTATTTTGTGTTAGTGAATTCCATGCTGGTATATCATTATATGCTGTAATAAATAAACGATAAAATGTTTTATTAGTTTCTTCTCCAAATATTGTATTTGTCCATATTGTACCATCAAATTCAACATGAAAATGTTCAATAGCTTCATTATCACTTAACAATTCATTTAAACGATATTGAACATAATTATTTTGATAATCAATATCACGATCAAATGCTTGAATTTGTGCAATTGTACGATTTCCATATTCTTTTTCAATAACACTTAAAACCATTGAACGTATATCAAATGTTGGAATTTGATCATTTTCATCTTTTAATTGTATTGTTATTGAACCAATTAATGGTGGATTAACAAGAACACGAATATAAAGAAAATAAACATTTTGAATTTCAGCATGAAGACCACTACATAATATACGTAGAATATATAAAGACTCTTTTTTATAATGATTTTAAAATAATATCTTGAGAATTATCTTTCTAGAAGATCTATCCGAATTTCGTGAGTTCGTAACTCAGACATTTGTCAATAGTAAGAAGTTATTAATCATAGTCGAACAGAAATAAAAGAATTCCAGATTACTAATGGAACTCAGGGTGTGGGTGTGACATGAGTTTTTGATTGGCTTGTGAATCTAGATCTTCACTTCAGCATTAAACACATAAATAACCATACAAACAATCATATCCACATTCTGAGAGTTCCGCGAATTGCTCAGACACGTATCTCGCTAAATATTTTCATAATATTTCTATTTATCATAGTGATTCACAGAGAAGTTGTACTTTCAAGAGTTCAGAACTCACGGAATCCGTCTACTGATGATATTTTGGTTTATTTTTTTGTTTCATCTGTTTTTGCAAAGTTATGATTGTTATTGTATTAATAGTAAATTTGGTGATAAAAAAATATTCGTACTCATGCCTGGTTTATTGTTTTTTTTTAAGCACACCGCCATACATTATACCTAACGTCTTGTCATCAGATATAAATGTATTAACTAAATATTTTTAAAAAATAGTCAAAAGATTTTATTAAAAATTTTTCATCTACGTTTAAATTTGCTGCATTGTGTTTTATAGTCTAATCTAACAGAAACTAAGATAATAACTTCTATTGCTATGTTAATTTTATTTGAATTTCTCTTTTCTGACTTGTGATATGCCTTTCAACCTGGAATACAATGAGCAATAATCTAAAATATGATTATATAAAACTATCGCATTTGTTTAATCTAGAAAAAACAAACGAACTATTGCTTTCCCTATCTTTTGGAAGCAATTTTTTATCCAAAATACTTCCAATCAATCAAGAAAGGATGAGCTTACTCTCGTTATTTACAGTATATAGTCATGAATTATAAATATCAAAATATATGAATTATATTGAGATATAAAACTGAACAAGTACGAGTTATCTCGAGTACGTATTCGTACTTGTCCAGCTTTATCTTATTGAAATACGTAAATTCTTACCTAGTAACAGTAATACCACTTGTAAATATTCGTCCATTTTTTACAACAGGTATATCACGAAATGGTATATTTGTATTATCAAGAAATGGACTACTGACAGTCATAATAGATGATGTTTGTGATGTTAATTCATACATAATAGATCCATTAAAACCATAATTATAATCAAATATTGGTTGATTTCGATAAATTTCATAAAATTTTTCTGTTATTGAAATGTATAATTCTTCATAATGTGTATCAAGCCATCTTGCTACTGGTGGTTCATCATTATCATTAAAATAAATAGTTACAGTTGCATTATTTTTACTAATTAATGGTGGTGTACCACGATCTTGTGCATAAACATAAAATGTTATTGGAAAACGACTAATATTTAAATAAGACAATCCGAAAATATTCTGACGAAATTTAATTGTTCCTGTTGTACGACTTATTGAAAAATATGGAACATTAACTGTTCCAATATAATAATTAATCATACCATTTAAACCAGAATCAGCATCTGATGCAATTATACGTAAAAAACGAATATTTGTTGTATTAATCGATGAACGATATATTGTATAATTCCATGATGTCATTATAAATACTAAATAATTTAAATTAAAATGAAATAATTATTTAATCGATTGATTCTTAATTAACTTTACCTGGTGCATTATCATTTACATCATGTAAATTAATACGTAAACTACAAAATGCTGGAAGATTACAAATTTAATATAAATATGAGAAAATTTTAAATATGATATATTTACTTTGTCGTTGAGGTTTACCATTATCACTAGCTAATATAAATAAATACCAAACACGAGTAGCACCTATAAGAAAAAACAATTCTTTTATAGATAAACATTAGAAGCTAGTAAAGTACATTTTGAACATAATTTCATTTGTAGATAATATCAATCAATAGAAATATGATCTATTCTCATGCAATAACAAAAGAAAAATAGAAACTCGTTTTATATAAAAATGAACTATTATACATTTAATATAATCTATTTTGATATGTTTTCATTCGATCTTAATAGATTGTTTTTATATATTTAACAGTGTGATTGAATGATATTAATTGAACGTATTTTTAAATTTTAGTTTATTCTGTACGTTGATTTATAAAATGTTTGAAGTTTTAAATAAGTAAAATAAACAAAAAATAATAATCGAATAGTCTGAGAACGAAAATCTTTCAAATAATGAATCGCTTTTAAGTTAGGACTATGTTCACCATGTAGATCGTAATAGATTATCAATACTACGAAAAGAGTTCGGGTCCATACATTATTGCTACTGATATATTTTTATTTTTACGATATTTTTCAATATAACACTGTGATTTCCTACAGAAATATCAGGAAAATCGATTTCCGATTTGAAACTTTGCATAGAAGTCTGTTTCTATGCCACGTTTCAAGCTGAAAAACAACTTTCCTGGTATTCTTGACGGGAACCATGGTATTATGCTGAAAAAAATCGTAAACATGGAATATGTTAGCAACAATAAACTATAGACTTGAACTCTTTTCGGTGTATTCATAACCCATTAGGGTCTACATGATGCACACAAGTCCAACTTACAAGCAATTAGTCAATTGGTAGACTTTCCTTGTCAAAGTTCTTGTGGTTTGTCATACCTGGTTTATCGTAATCAAATATTTCATTCGTTTTAAGTATAGCCGTACGAGTTGTATTAGTTTGATCCAATTGTTCAATATAAAACTGAGAATAAGCTGTATTTCTTAAACCACTTACTAACAAAAGAGAAAACAGTTTTATTTTGAATTTAAATAAATCATTCAATCAATCAATTACTTGTTGTTCGTAATTCTTCAGATGGAAATGATATGTAAATCAATCCATTTTCTCCTCGATCATTATCTAATACAATTAATGTTACAATCTCTTTTCCAATTGTATTATTTTCATCAAATGATATATTTTTACCACACAATTGATTTAAAAATCGTGGTGAATTTTTATTAACTGTAGTTACAATAATTCTAATATTGATTGACTTTGTTCGTTTACGACACGAAGGACGTGATGAACAAGATGAACCATTATCTGTTGCTGTTACCGTAATAAAATATTCAGATTGTGATGATGAATCAAATGGTTTTTCAAGTCTTAAAACACCCGTTAATGATTCAATACAAAATTGTATACAATTTATTGAATATAGTATTTCATCATTATCAAGATCCATAGCATAAACCGTACCAAATTGTGTACCCGGTTGAGCTGTTTTACTTATATAAAATGTTTGATTATTGGAAATAAAAATGGGATCATGAACATTATCATTTTCTAAATTTATTTGAACTTGTGCTATAGAAGTTACTGGTGGTCGATTAGAAAATGTTTGTTTTGCAATTAATTGAAATAAATAACGATTATAAGATGAAAAATAATTCAAAGGACTAAATAAAAAATTATGTATATTAGTATTATTCGTTTTCGAAAAAGTATGCCGATGATTGTTTTTTTTTGAATAACTTTTGATAGAAATGACGAAGTGAGATAGAATTTTCACCATTCAAGAGAGAATACTCGAGGCTGTCAGAGTAAGTCAAAACATGATTGTTCAGCAATTGATGAATCAGGTGAGTTCGTAGTGAAGATTTTGAAGTCATTTCTCATAAGGTTTTGACGTGTAATATGGCCGATTGGTAGAGAAAAGTCTTCTCTTCCGATTTACGTAAGCTCTAACTTCGTAGTAGCTTCTGTCCAATGGTTTTTGTGAGACCCCTATTTTCTTTGTGAGAGAATTAATCTGGAAGGTTCCAAAAGAGCTCCAGACTGGGAAAAATTTGCCATGCTGAGTCGAATAGTAATGTTTGTTTCCAGTTTCAAAGCAAACTGACACAACTATTTCAATATTTTTGAATTTTCAAAAATGTCCTCAATCTAGCATAAAAATTGGAATTTTGACAATGTTCCAATGGTGGTCTAAGATCATTTTGAAACTGGAAACAAACATCACCATTCGACTCAATATGGGGAATTACCACCGTCTAGAACTCTTTTGGAGCTTTCCAGATCAATTCTCTAAAATCGAGGGGCTCTCAAGAAAACCCTTGATTGGAAGCAGCTACAAAGTTCGAGTGTACGTAAATCGGAAGAGAAGACTCTTATCTACCGATTGGCCATATTACACGTCAAAAGCTAATGAGAAATGACTTCAAAATCTTCATTGAGAACTCATCTAACTTATTAATTGCTGAACAATCAAATTTTCACGTACTCTGATAGCCTCGAGTTTTCTCTTTTGAATGGTGAAAATCCTAGCTCTCTTCATCATTTCTATCAATAGTTATTCAAAAAGTAACTACAGACATTCTCTTTTGAAATAGACAATAGTAGAAGTATTCATTTTTAAGGCATACAAAGTATTTGTAACAAGAGCATAAGAATCATTTGTTAAATTAACAACAGTAAAACTTGGATGACTTGATGTTACAATAATATTTCTTGATGTCATATCAAGTGTACGATTATTAACTGTTATTGGAATAAAACTCGGTCGATTGTAAATTGTTTGAGGTTTAACAATAAACGTAAATATTTGTGTATTATTTGGAGTTGTTACAGAAAAATTTGATAGTATTGTATAAACTGTTTGATCAAAAAATGGTCCAGCAAAATTAACATTGTACTAAAATGCAAAACAAAAAACAGAAAAATAATACAAAGAATTTTTCTTTTCAATTTCAACATACAAAAAAATCTGCAATATTATTTTCACATATTTGACCAGAAATACGATTAATAAAAAGTATGAATAATAAATAACGATAGTGAATATTTAATGTAATCATTATATATATATATATATATATATCTAGAAAGATAATCTTTTGAAAATAATTTAACTTCAAAATATAGTTATAAAGAAGAGTATAAAATATTTTTCTATTCTTTATTTTTATTGGACTTCAGATTATAGTTTTCAATAGAACGAGAGAAGAAACTCAAGCAAACAAATCTTGAAAGAAAATCGATGATTGATGCAATCATTGATTCGACGGACTACTGAACATAATCTTCTGATTAGAAAAAAAATACAGATAAAATTTTATTCAAAATTATAGAGAATAAAAAAGTAAAAATTTAACAAATCTATTCTTTTTCTTTGTCTACATTAACACCAGGGTATATGATATGATCACTTAGGCTATTTAAAACAACGGAACAATCATTTTTCTATTCCTTCTGATAGACGAAGAAGAAAAATGACATGAACTCATACCTTTAAAATTTTGAAAGACGATCATGTCAATGAACAATGAGAAAAAGAAATGATGTAATAATCATTGATCAAGAACAATTCTCATTGCATTGCATCGAACAAGATTCAACAATTCGCAACTCTATAGTAACTGTTAATAAACCTCAATTATTAAGTAAGTCATAAAATAACGATGCGTTGATAAGTTTTAGTTTTATTTTTATCTTTTCCTATTCATTCACTTAAACAGACTATCCGAAAAGCAGATGTCCATTTTTTCAAAAATGAAAATGCAATAAATATATAACTGTTTGTGCATATCATTCGTATGCATATACAATAATAACAAAGGATAGTAGATGTACCAATATAGGTTCGAATATCAAGCAATCAATCTTAGTAAGCGATATGCTAATAAACATGACGAATATTAGTATAAACGATAAGATAGTTTATGATATTATACAAGAAATCTAGAAAAGAATAGATAAGTTCGTTAATATTAGAAAATCAATTGGAACTGTCGAACTGATAAATGGACAGATAATATTATCACTAGTATCAATACTTATCTCGAATTCAGTGATGTAATATAAACTATCGAATATAAAAATGAATTTTCTTCTCTTTTAATTTGTTTTCAAATAAACTAATATGCATACTTTTTATATTTTAATAGTTCATTTTATTCTTTATAGGGTGACGTACTAAACGTATACTTCGTTTTTCTTTTCCAACAAACTATCACCAACGATCAAAATAAACATCAATAGATTATTTTTTTCTTGTCTTGCCTAAAATCAATGTTACTAAAATCTGTTTCTTTTGGTAAGAGTAAATTTACACTTATCTATGTCAATCCATCAGATATATCCAGGCATAATACTTACTCTGATAATATCTATCTATTATAATATGGTAATGCTATTGTCCTACTTTTCATATAAACCACTACTACCAATAAACAAAAGCAAGCAGAACATGAATCAGTATACTCATTTTTTTCTCTTGTCTTCTTCTCAGTTATTAAGCAGATCGATCATTTGCAAGGTTTCTTTTTTTTCAATTAAACATAATCTTTGTGCAATAGACAAAAAGAAAAATGTACAATAAAATAGAAAAAAGTTACATATTACTAGCTACCTCACGTTTATAGAAATCTGTCATTACCAGATGACTAATCATACGTAACACATAATCATAACATTCGATCTAATCTAAATACATTACTATTCTGATGACATTCATAGAATATGAAGATATACATATCAGTTCAACTGTTAACACTTATATACTAATAATATATAATTATGCAAATGTATTATACAATTGAATATATTAATCGAATAAAAGATGTTTGCTTTTTTCAAGAGATAAATACAATTCTTATTGTCAAAATAATTTTTATTTGACAAGAGAAATAAAATATACACGAAAGTTATTTAA